TTTATGACCTAGATTTCAAGATGACAGCCCAGCCTGAAGTGCGACCTACTATACCCTATTGAGTGATTGCGGAGCTTGTACACTTGCTATACTATGTACGTGGGCGTAAGGCCAAGACAGGATGATCCTCAATGGCTAATCACAGTGCTTCAAACAGGAAGTCCAGAATCCATCACCTGTTGACATCACTTCTTTGTCGCCGAGTTTCCCTTTCTGTGGATCACAATAAGATAATTCTGGATCAGCAAAAACACACGAATTATCTTGCTGGAGAAACAGCGGGAAATACAAAAACGGAGTTGATTTTCATTTTAAGCCTCATCCTCAAGGTTACATGAACCGGTTTGAGACAAGCTTGCGCCTTACATATAATATCTTACTATAAGGACTCATTATTGGGTCGCTTCGGAGCTCTTTCATCATATTTTCCCAGCCGCAAAGCCAAACCCCCTGTCAACAAACTAGGCTTACAGCTTGAGGCTCTGCGAAGCCAAACAGATGTACGTTCGTGGCACCCTACCTCGACCGCGTTGAACCACAACGACGAAGCTGAGGCTCTCGGCACAAGAGAGCAACCGCTCGTTAGCGTTAGTTCCTTGTAGCGCGGGGTGATAACGAACGTACCACTTTTAAGTCCTAGGTAGATTAGAATTTTGGCCATCCGCCGGCCCTGTGACATGTTGTTCAAGGAACAACTGCATTGGCTAGGCAAACTTTCCAAACTGACCCATGTACAGATAAGCAAGCCTCATACAAGAAAAGCATCTACACCATGAAGTACGCGGCCAGCGTGCAACCTTTCACCGAGTCAAGGAACATATCGGGTCGTGGACCCGATGGACCAATCTCACAGGGAAGGGCCAGCATTATTGGACTTTTGACTCTCTTCTTTGACAAAAGAGCGGATGTTTTCTGAAGTGCTTTCATAACTCCAGGAGTCCAGCTGAGACAGAGAGGAAAACAGCATCTCTCGTGGTCTCCTTCAACCCCGTACTCTACTTCCGGCTGCCTGCTTGTGGTTATCTTCCCGACGGGCCTTCTCACGGAAGACTGGTTCCCGCCCATAGATGAGGCTAGGCCCCTGTTGTGTCTCTTATTTCTTTCCTGGAAACAGAGAAATAATAACGGAACTCGCCTATCCCGACAAACAAGGAAATACGGCAACATGTATGAGGGGCAGAAACTGTGATGGATAACGACATGGGACGCTGGATAGCTGCCTTACTATGCTGAGCTACCTTGGAGCTTGGCTACCAAAACACCAGTAATCCAACTTTGTGTCCTATTGGCACCAAGAGGACACGCACAAACATCACATTCAAAGCTGGGGCCTAAGCAGAACCGAGACATGCAAGCATGTGCTTCATCAGATGTTTGTCTGTTAGTCCCTCCTACACTTTGCTTTTTCCTTGGATGTCCTCCTTCAGGCTTTGGGGAGCGTAATCCAGACAGTGATACACGTTTGTTGTTGTGGAACTGAAACGTGAAGAGAGCGTTGGACAGAGGGAATACTTGGAGGATAACCCACTCTTCTTTTACCTCGCACGGTACCACATGATTGGTAACAAGGGTTGGGTGGGTGATGGCAGCTCCCCTCCCATGTCCTCCTTGATCGTTACGATAATTGCCAACATGTATGGTGTATATGGACTACCTAGCTGGAAGGCCCACCGACAAGGCTGAATATCTCCTCCCGCTCTTCTCTTTCAGGAAATCAAGTTTCAGCTGCTCCACTATCAGCTATTGCCCCCTCTCCTGGCCATCACGAGGTGTCTGGCGATGAAGCAGGAAGGAGGAGATATAAGGTCACTAACGCCCAACGCCTTCATGACATATTCTGACGGACTGTATCGTCTATAACTGCATACAACATCACCTCGTTGATCATCGTATCGTCGTCCTTTCGTCAACATGGACTGTCACATGCTCATGATCTGGGTACTCTCCACGCTGGTAGATGCCTCTCCCGACAGTGGCGAGGCCATCAACATCACCACAACCACCATCAACGATACCACCCAGGCCCCAACAATGTTACTGCCTGACAACCTCCTAGCGAGCCTCAGCCCCATGCTGGACATGTACCTTCCACCGGCCGTCAGAGACTTCCTAGTGTCCTGTCACCGAGCAATCACCAGCTGGCTCGGCTTCGATCCCACAATCCTCCTATCCCTGGGTCCTATCGTATGGGCCGCCAAAAGACTCTGGTCCGAGGTAAAAATGCTGGTGGTCGAAGACATCATCTGCAACTGGTTCACCGCCAGAGTCGAAGTCGGTGACGACGACCCGATCTTCATCCACATCATGCGTTGGGTCGCCGTCCAGCCCAACTCAGCCAAGACACGCTTCCTTCAAGCCGACACCATAGCCGGCAGCGCCGACGACCATGACGAGGACGACGAGGCCGGAGCCGCTGCCGCTGCCGGAGCTGCCGCTGTCAAAACGGCCATCAACACTACGGCCACTTCCGTCATCACCAGCACCAGCACTACCAATAATACCACAGTGGACCCTTCCAACACCACCACCACCACCGCCGCCGCCAAAAACAAGAAAAAACAAGCCCCCACCATCCTCCCCAACGGCGAAGCCTGCCTCAACTTCTCCACTCACAAGCACCAAAAACCTCCTCGCTTCCTTCCCGCCGTCAACGTGCCCTACACCTTCACCTTCGCCGGCACCTACTTCTGGCTCAACCGGACGCGCTCCAACATTGCGCACCAGTCCGAGTGGCGGGGTCTTTCGATGCGTCGCGAGGAGAACCTCGTCATCACCTGCGTCGGCTTCTCCGCCGGGCCCATCAAGAACTTTATCCAGTTCACCAAAGAATGGAACCACAACCGCCAGGCGGCCACGACCGTGGTGCGCCGTCCGGCGCGGCCCGAGATGCGCATTTATGGCGGCCGACATGTCTGGGCCGAGGTGGCGGATCGGCCCATCCGGCCCATGGACACGGTGGTGTTGGATGAGAAGCAAAAGTTGATGGTGTTGCAGGATATGAACGAGTATTTGCACAGGGACACGGCGCAGTGGTATGGCGAGCGGGGGATCCCGTTGCGCAGGGGATACCTGTTTCATGGCCCGCCGGGGACGGGCAAGACGAGCTTGAGTTTTGCGCTGGCGGGGGTGTTTGGGCTGGATATCTTTGTGATCTCGCTGTTGGATCAGAATCTGACGGAGGACGATCTGGCCATGTTGTTTACGAATTTGCCGAGACGGTGTGTGGTGCTGTTGGAGGATATTGATACGGCGGGATTGGTGAATAGAAAGGATGAGACGGATGAGGAGAGTAGTAGTAGTGAGAGTAGTGGTAGTGATGGGGGTGGGAGTAGTGATAGTGACGATGATTATTTGATGGGTGAGAAGAAGAGGGCGCTGGAGGTGATATTTTTGGAGGGGAAGTTGGCGAGGAAGAAGAGGAAAGGGAAGGGAAAGCAGGTGACGGCGGAGCAGGAGGCTCTTGAGAAGGAACTGGCGGAGAAGATGGCTGCCTTTAAGGAGATGCTGAAAGAGGGTAATGACGAGGAAAAGGCAGACGAGAAGGTTACTGACGAAAAGAATACCACTTCTGAAAAGGAGGAACAGGAACCTGCTGCCCCCGAGGGCGAAGCGAAGCCCACCTTCTCTGCACGCGACGACGGTGAACCCGGTGAGAAAATGACGAAACATGAATCTAGCAGCACCATCGACAAGAAGAAGAAGAAGCCCATGACGGCCAAAGAGAAGAAGCACAAGAAGAAGCAGAAGAGGAAAAGGATGTCGAAGACGTTCGCTGCCACGTCGCTTCATAACCTGGACTTGATCCGGAGACAGTACGGTCGCAGACGGTCGTCCCCATACGACCGAGAACGGGGCATTTCGCTATCAGGTTTACTCAACGCCATCGACGGCGTTGCCTCGCATGAAGGCCGCGTGCTCATCATGACAACCAACAAGCCAGAGAAGCTAGACGAAGCACTACTTCGACCGGGCAGGGTTGACATCCAGATTGCCTTCCTCAACGCCACGCAGGAACAAGTCAGAGAGCTGTTTGAGAGAATGTACGAGGCCGATGTGGTGGACCCAGCCACGGTGACATTTACCCAGGTTGGGAATAAGGTCACAGCTAGCACCACAGGGGCAGCTACTACATTGCCTCCAGTCGTTCATTCTCCTCATACGGGGGTTACCGCTCCGGATGGCACCGGAACCGGCACCACCGCTGAGAAGGATGAAGAAAAACAACAACAGCCCCCCATAGACCCCAAGATCGTTGATCTCAAACTCGTCGACAACAACAACCTCCGCAAGTCCTCCGTCAGCAGTTGCTCTAGTGACGCAACCGTCATTGGCGAAGAGGACAACGCCGCTGCTCCTCCTCTTGTTCCCACCATCACCGCCGCCGCCGCCGCGGCGACAGCCAAAGACAAGGAGAAACAACAACCACCAGCAGAAGAAAAGACGGAAAGTCCCGTCCCTCTCCACATCAATCCCCTAACTAGGCAAGAACTCCAAAAGATCGCCAGGGAGTTTTCTCTGAGAATCCCGGCATCCCAGATCCTCAGTCCGGCGGAGATCCAGGGCTTTCTGTTGAGGCGCAAGAAGGACCCCAGAAGGGCGTTGGCGGAGGTGGACAAGTGGGTGGAGGAGCTGGTCAAGGCGAAGGAGAGTAAGAGCAAGATTTTGGATGCTAAGGCCATTTGAAGTGTGGTGGTGGTTGAATGTTGGTTTGGTAGTTATGGGTTGTGGAAGAGAGCAAGGACGGCTGGTTGGGTGGTTGGGTGGGTTTGGATATTCAATGTTGCTGGTGCTCCTAGATCAGGTAAGTTGCAATAGCAGGCAGGAATTTCTTTTTTTCCCTCTTCAATTGAAGAGGTGATCCAAAAGCGCTAGGTTAAGGTCAGGAGGAACTGCTGATCGTGCTAGCCTAAGATAATTTTTTTTTGGTCAAGTCGGGTCAAACAAACAGTATGAAATATGATGGAGGATTGTAGTTCAACCTACCTCATGTGAGCTATGTATGGCAGCAATTTCCTTGGAGGTGTTTTTGGAATCAGTCTGAATTACCTATTATTATTGACTTCTTCTTGAAGTGATCGACAGAGGGCAAAGAAACGTCCATTGATATTTCGTGATATGCTGATGATTGCTTCTTCCTAATGCGGCCATGCCTCATGTATCCTCTCAAGCCTTCAAATCAGGCAGATGCCGCAATTGGGCCTTCACCACCGGGAATCAACTGAGCACAGCTGTTAGCTGTTTGTGAACGCGAGCTTGATGACGACGATGACCCACCATGCAGATGTTGTTGCCGTTCAACAGGATCTTCTTCAACTTGGTGTGGTTGCCGGAGTAGTCGCTGATCGAGCAAGAGTGAAGTTAGTAATGTCCTTCATGAACTACTTCCAGAGTAGGACGTGTCGTACAACTCAGTGACGTCCTCCAAAACCATGTCTATTTGAAAGTAGGTTAGCATAAGGCTCCGTGGGACGATATGAAGACACGGGATGATGAGGAGAGGTCGGCTACTTACTAACGTAGTCATCGAAACCAACAAGAGTGCCAGAGAACTCTGTTTTCATCCCATCGTCAGTCAGCACATCCATCGATAAGTCAAAGTCCAGCAGGGACAGCTAGGATGGCATAACGTGCCCTTGTCTCCCTTCATGACAACCCAGATGCGGGAGCCAACACACTTGTCGATGAGCTCTGGGGAAAAAACACCACGTTAGCTGTCTTATTCTTGGATACCTAAGTAGTGGTGCCCAGCATGAGCTCTCTCACTCACCGAGAGGAAGTAATTGCGAGGCCATGTTGTATGTGGTGTGGAAGGGTCGAGTCTTTGAGTCTGGATGTCGAAAGGGACGTTCAGTGGCCGTTCACTGAGCTTCGATTGCGAGGCCAACGAAGGCGACAGGGCGTACGTATTGAGCTGTTGTACAGTGAAAAAAGGTCAGCAATTCCCACAGTATCAGCGTGGACTCGGATTCTTGGCGCAGCTTATGCTTGTACCCAAACACGCATATGAGAATAAACGGGGTATCTAGGCTTCAGCAGCAACTCGGCAGCGGCTGGACGCCGTGACAGCGCTGCTGTTGCAGTGAATGGCAACCGAATCAATTCACATCGATCCTTCCTTGTGAACAAAGCAAACAGTTTGTGATTTCGGTATTCGGAGGCAACCAAATACGTTCGCGTTTCTGCCTGCCAGCAGCCAACGTTGCCCGTGACAAGGTATTTCTCCGTCCAATATTTAGTTGTTCAACTTGAAGTTTCAACGTCCACTCCGTCTCCGACTTCTTCTCTTCCCCCACTTTGACCGAACCAACATCCATATTAATGCCCTGAAACCACCACCTTTTCGTCTCGTTCCCCTCTGTCAGCATTCAAACGAATCGACAGGTCATGGCGCAGTTCTCTGGGCCTTAACAACCTGCAACATCACTTACTACCTACCTACCTACCTACCTCTACCACGCATACCTGCCACGCACTCGGCAACTTTGTGATCGGCGCTTGCCATCCATCGCTATAATGAGGTCCCCGCACCCTATACCACAAGCCATCGGCGCCGGTGCCAACGCCGTAAACAGCACCACCAGCTTGACTCTGAGGCAATGCCGGCGGCGTTTCTTTGCTTCTTCGCCCTCATCCTCGATTCCTTCCACATCCCGTTATCCAGTGTAGGTTCACTGGCTCTTCCAGGTCCTTACTACTTCTCCGTGTATTTTTGGCTGACCAGGGTTTTTACACAAATCAAGACATCTTGGCGCCATGGAGAGGAAAGATCAGACATGGAATTCAAGCCGGGGCATTACGTTTGCTGGCGATAGTCGCGGCAGAGTTGGATACCCGCAACTGCCATCTTTGGCAAGATATCACAGCGACTCTGCGGTATCAGCAGCCTCAAACCCGGAACCTGTTCTTCCGCCTAACCACGATGGTGTCTTCAACTCCACAGGTGTACCTCAGGGAAATCCTGACGCGAATGGAACGACGTTAGACTCCCAGGGGCAGGAGTTTGTTGATGCACAGGAAGGACTGGAGGAACAGTTCCAACTCATACTCGAAGATGGGAACGTTGAGTCGAAAGATGAGGATGCTTCTCTCAAGCCTCCGTTTACACCACTCAGTTTCACCATGTCCGAGGATCTCTTCAAGGAGGCGAAGAAGGCGGCCGAGGGCACTCCAAAGTCCTACTGGACTTACAACCTCTATCGTGGGCCCGACAAGGAAGGAAACATGAACGAGAAGGTCAAGGTCCATTACTGCAGAAGTGCGACCACCACTGAGAGGGTCTTGAAGCAGTACTTCATGGATGACAAGATTCTCGGTCTTGACTTGGAATGGGAAATCAGCGCAAAGGAGAGCCATGGCCCGAGGCAAAACGTGTCGGTTATCCAGATTGCTTCGGAGAAGCGTATTGGAATCTTTCACATTTCGCTCTATCCGAGGAAGGATGAGCTTGCTTCTCCACTACTCAAGCAAATTATCGAGGACGCCGATGTTGTCAAAGCCGGTGTCTGGATCATGGGCGACTGCACACGTCTGAAAAAGTTCCTCGGGATCGAAGCAAGAGGAATTTATGAGCTCTCTCACTTGTATAAGCTCGTCAAGTACTCTGCTTCCGGTGAGCACAAGCTTGTCAACAGACTCCTTGTCCCGTTGGCAACCTTGGTAAAGGAGGTCCTCCAGTTGCCAATGTTCAAAGGAGCAGTCCGGACAAGTGAATGGTCCAAGCCCCTGAACATGGACCAAATCCTCTACTCAGGATCCGACGCCTACGCCGGCGTACAGCTCTTCGCCATGATGGACCACCAACGAAAGCAACTCAACCCCACTCCTCCCCTCCCGTACGCCGCCGAGCTCAAGCTGCCCATCAGGCTCGCCGCGGACGTCATCTTCGAAGAAGCCGGTTTATTAGACGAACAGTTTTCGGAAGTAACGGCCGCGCCTGACGCCACTCTATCAGCCAACTACCTCTCCACTGTGGGCGACAATATCAACGTCGAAATCGAAGGAGACGGGAGCACGACCCTCAGCGGCGAAGACGCTTTTGTCTCTGCCACCACCAAACCCGGCAAAAATGGCACAACCAAGAAAACCACCGAACCCTCGACAACATCAACAGCAACAACATCCACAAAACGCAAACGGACCCCCAAAGAACCCAACGAGTCCAAAGAGTCCAAAGTACCCAAACCAATCGACCCCCTCATCTCCGAAGCCACCCTCTGGGCCCAGAACTACCTCCTCTCGCATGTCTCCCGCAAACAAACCTTTGGCCCCAAATCCCCCCTCTCCGTCGCCAACCTGCGCGCCTATTACCTCTGGTCTCGCAATCCGTCGATGAACTGCGAAGCTCTGGCCGCGTTGCTCGGCATCAAGACTAGCACGGCCGCACAATACATTCTGGTGGCTATTCAGAAGGAAAAGGGTAGGCTGTCGTTTGAGCCGAAGCGGATGAAGGAGGAGATTTTTGGGTCTGGGGTGATTTCGGAGGAGACGTTGAGGTTCAGGTGGCAGGGCGTGCAGATGCTGTGCGCGTTGTATGAGGAGGCTGAGGCGCGTGGGGTGAATGGGACGGGGGTGATGGATGGGGAGGGGGTGAAGGGGAAGAGTGAGTTGGAGTTGTTGGATGAGATTTTTGGGCAGGAGCAGGAGCAGGAAGGGGAGGTAGATGAGGTTGAGGGTGAGGGTGAGGAGGTAGATGAGGCACAGGCAGAGGTGGAGGTAAAGCCGAAGGAAGAGAGCGTGGAGGATGTGATGAAGGCTGCGTTGGAGGCTGGGGATTTGGACTTTGATGAGGAGTTGACGCTGGGCAATAGCAGCAGTCAAGCGACGGTTGATGAGGAAGAGGTGGAGAGGTTGAGGAAGATGTCGAGGAGCCATTGAGCCGGCTCTCAAGCTGCTGGTCGAGTGCTGAACAAGAAAGGAAAGATGTCGACGATGCACCTATACCCCGAGACCGACTTGGCTACTTTTAGATGTTGGTAGATGAACCTTGTATAATCCTTAGAACAACCTCTGACTGGGCTCTGCAGAAGCCATCTAGTCTATGCTCCAGGTCAGTACATTTTTCGCGTACAGTTCAGTTCAGAAAGAATCTGTCACGGCTGTTCTTGGCCTCGTCCCTGCAGATACCACAAAGATATCTTGTACAGTATCCACATTCCATTTTATCTATCCTGGGTATATCATAACAACCAAGTTCTGCTGCTTCCCTTCTCTTCATCTTAACAACCCCCTCTTTCCTGACCATTTTTCTTCCTCTACTCGGCATTCACACCCCTCCCCTTATTAATCTGCACCTTCTTATCCTCACCACCGCTGAAGATGCCCAGCTGATCCCACACCACGCTGAACACCTTGCACCCGTCGCCCGTCACACTGCTCTTCTTCTTCTTGCCCTGCTGGCTCTCGCGATCAATAACGTACACGGGCTCGCTGACGCTGCCCATGCCACCCTCGTCCTTGGTCGCTGGCCGGACCGACCGCAGATCCCAGATCCGGCACGTCCCGTCGTGCGAGCCCGAAACCAGCGAGTACTCATTCTCCGGGTTCGCCGCCAGACTGGCCACCTTGTTGGCATGCCCACGCAGCGTCATGACGCTCGTCGCGGCCGTGCTGGTGCGCGGGTCGACGAGGGTAATGTGTCGGGCGGAGGTACCGCAGGCGAGAAGGGGCGCCGAGGCCGAGGAGCGCGGCAGGGCCGCAAGAGAGAGGAGCGCATGCGAGGTTGTGAAGGTGCTGACCACGCTGGAGGTGGTCAGGTCGATGGTCTTGACGGTGTGGTCCTGCGACACGGAGTAGGCGACGGTGCGGTCGCGGGGGTCGAAGACGGCGGCCGTGGCGGGCGCATTGTGGATGTTCATGAGGGCGAGCGGGCCGCGCTGGGCGGCGGTGACGGAGGTCGCGAGCTTGCGGCGCTTGGATGTGTGGGCGCCAGGAAGGAGCGAGGAATCGGAGACTTCGGGCGCGGACGCCTTGGAGGTGGTCCAGAAACCGATGGAGCCGTCGGCGGAGGCAGTGAGGATACGCTTCGAGGCGCCGTCAACCTCGAGCGAGTCGATCGAGGAGGTGTGGCCGTACAGTTCGAGGGTGGGCTTCAGCTCGCCGCGACGCTCGTACGACTCGCCCGACTCGGTGTATTTCCATACGCGAACTGTGCGGTCCATGCCGGCCGAGGCAATCTGAGTGCTGGAGAGGAATTTGGCAGCTTTTATGCTGGCAGTGTGACCACCGTGGCTGCCCGAGGGCGAGGTGCCAATCACGTTTCCGGAGGCGTCCCATATCCTGAGGAGACCGTCGTACGAGGCAGAGAGGATGCGGTCTTGGCCGCGCTGGAAGTTGTCGCCGGACCAGCGGCCCGCGGGAGAAGTAGCGGAAAGAACATCGACGGCGCTGACCCAGTCGTCGTGCTCAAAGCTGGCCTCGTATGTTGGTGGGATCAAACTGCGAACGTACTGAAGGGTGATGTTGGTTTCGAGCGAGAGGCCGTTGGCGTTGAGGTACTCTTCAAGACTGCCGCGGAGGAAGCTGCCGTTAACAAGGAAGTCGAAGGGGATGGAGTTGGTGTCGAGCATGGACTCGGAGTTGAGAATACGGGAGAGGCCATAACGGCGGATGTCGGCGGGGACAAGGAGCTGGCGCTTGCTCTCATCGAGCTGGATGTCCTCCTCCTGGGTGGTGAAGGTCACCCGGACCTGGGCGCCTGATTCGGTAGGGTGGTCCATGGCAGTGCCTGTGCTGTGAGATTATATGTATTGGGTAGTCGCTGTTCGGTATGGGCAGGCTGAAGACTATCAATTGACAAGTAAAAGTCAGGTTGGCTTGGATTACTGTGAAAACAGGCGTCGTCCAGGAGGGAGAGTGTGGATGTTTACTTTGCAGCGGACACCACAAGGCCATGCCAGATCCAAGACTCCATCCAATTTTTTTCTGTCCAGCCTTGCAGCGCAGGGGTCTGGAGTGTTCTAGCTACCCCACGTTCCCCTATCTTATCGGAACTTTATAGCGGGGCCGACGGTTCTTGTGAGGGTCACAGTGCTGAAGCGCCGCTAAACTATACTAGTGTAGTATAGAGTAGTACCGGTCATGTACCTGGCTTAATTGAACCCACTGGAGCTACGCGTCTCGAAATTGTCAAGCGCGTCGTCGACTTTCGTCCCTTGAAGTCAGTTTCCGAGCAGCACATGAATAAGTCACCAATTGCTTTTGTCGTTCTCACATCTTGAGCAATTGTCAGTATCAATAATACGATGGTCACCTTGGACGAAGTTCTCGGTAGCGGTTTGCTACAGAAGCCCTCGTGAGTAGCAGTGGATCATCCATCTTCCACTGGCGATCATCAGCTAACAGCCCAACTTCACGAAGAGGCGATGCGCCCGAGGCTCTCCAGCGCCAGATCACCAACTACAAGCCCCTTCACACCTTCAAGCTCGAAAAAACCCGTCCCTATCAACAACAATATGCCGATATCTACTTCTTGCGTCTTACAAAGATCAGGCCCGCCGTCGAGGCAGCCGCCAGCGCCGCTTGGGAGGGAACAGTGCTTGGTGGTGAGAAGGTCAAGAGGGTCGAGCGTGTCCTAGACGTTCGCCAGGGAGAACTATGCTGGGTAGCTGGAACAGTTTATATGGACATGCCTCTGAAGCCCTCGATCCTCGAGGATGTCTCCAAGGATGTGAGTTTCAACCTATCCTTTGGTGGACACCAGGCAGCTGACGTGATGTTATAGCGCTGGATCTCCGCTCCCACCTCGGTCGGCCACTACTACTCCGGCAACGGCGAAGACTCGGTAATGCTTGAAGACGACTCGGGCCGCATCCGTCTTGTTGGCAATGCTCTGCAAAACCACTTCATGGTGACCGGCTGCATCGTCGCGGTGATGGGCACCGAGAACGCCAACGGCGAATTCGAAGTCATCGACCTCCTCTTCGCCGAACTACCACCACAGCCCGAGCGCTGGTCGCTCTCAAAAGGCAAAAAGGAAGCAGACTCCTCCGAAGACGTCGAAATGATGGACGCCTCTTTCTCCGGGCACCCCCACAAGCCCTCCTCCAAAAAGATTGCCCTCGTCTCCGGCCTCGAGTTCTCCAACGCCGACACCTCCTACGCCATGGAACTCAACCTGCTTCTCGAGTATCTTCTCGGCGAAGCGCTCGATCCCTCCGTCCAGCGCGACGAGCTCTCGCACATCACCCGCCTCATCATAGCGGGGAACTCCATCTCCACGACGGCGGCCGAACAGGCCAAACCCGCGGCGGCCTTCGACACCACCACCGTAACAAACAAGTTTCAACCACAAAACAAAAAATACGGCTACGACAGCAGCTCCTACAACCCGGTCCCCTCCCAACTCTTGGACAACTTTCTGAGTGAACTCCTCCCCACCATGCCCGTCACCCTGCTCCCGGGCGCGCTCGACCCCGCCAACGCGAGTTACCCGCAACAGCCAATCCACCCGGCCATGTTCCCGCAGTCGAGGACGTACATGCCACCCCCAAAAGCGGGGGCGGGCAAGGACAGAGATGTGCCAGGGGAAGAAGAGCCGGGGTGGTTTGACAACGTGACGAATCCGTGGGAGGGCGAGATTGAGGGGTGGCGGGTGCTGGGCACAGGCGGACAAAATCTGGATGATGTGTTTAAGTATGTAGAGAGTGAGGATAGACTGGGCATGATGGAGGCCATGTGCAGGTGGAGGTGTGTGGCGCCAACGGCGCCGGATACGCTTTGTGAGTTTTTCTTCACCTTCTGCAGCACTATTTTCCTCCCCTTTAATCCCTTGGTGTTGATTCACCTTTCCATCCCCCCCCCCCCCCTTACCCTGGGAATTAGCAAAGAACTAACCTGTCCGATCAAACAGGGTCCTACCCCTTCCAAGAAGACGAGCCCTTTGTAATCAAAGAGTGTCCCCACCTCTTCTTCGTCGGCTGCCAGCCCGAGTTTGGGACGAAAGTGATCCACGGACCGGACGGGCAAGCAGTGCGGTTAATTGCCGTGCCGTCGTTCTCGGAGACTAGAGAGGTGGTGCTCGTGGACACGGAGACGCTAGATGTGGAACGGGTGAAAATTGTCGCTGAGTGAATGTGAAATGATATCCATAGATTGTGGTAGTGGGTGGTGAGTGAGAGGGGAAACGTAGAGGCGGTGACGAGTTATATTTATTATATTTTTGTCATGTTCTTCGCTTTCAGCATCAGGTGTCTGGCATAGGGAGGGAATTACGGGAGTCTTTTGTTTGAAATACTACGGGTGAGGGAGTGGCGGTTTGATGTCAGGTACCAGAAGATATTCATGATCCGCTGGACAATCTGGAACAGGATGAGAATTCTCCAAGTGTCAATGTCAAAGATCAACGCATTTATGATAAAGCTATCGAGGTCATGCAAACTGCTTGCTACATCCGGCTCAAACGCTTCAGCTCCTGATGGTGCTATTGTGTGACTGGTATTGTCGTGCCCATTTGTCCACTCCTTATATCCTCCCATGGGACTCAATCGACCACCAGAATGTTTGCAAGCATAAAAATGATCACTCCCCTGGTGTGGCTGCTTGTCATCGCATACATAGTATACAATGCGACAGGAGATGCCCGTCGTTAAAGATGTCTCTTCCACCTGAAAGACTAAAAGCATTCTGCCCGTTTTCACTTCAATAGCTCCCGGGTTGTGCATAAGAAAGCCATGAACCAACCAGCAAGTTCCTCCCTTTATTCACCAAGTTCCTCCCATCGATAGATATAGTCTCGTCCCTCTGCCAGTCTCCAAATCCCTCCCTTGCCCTTTCTCCCATTGCCGTATGCTGACCAGGACGCAGTCGAAGATGTTCGCTAACAGGGCCTCAAATCCCATCAGCGATGATGATGTTACAATTCCGACGCCGATAAGAAGTTTCATCGGGGCTTCTTGACCCAATGAGACTCAGTCGCTGTTGTGCGACGCCATTTTGAGGAGATAACATACTCAGAATATCAATGTCGGAAGAAGGATAATAAGAAGAATAAAAAATAAAAAGGGAGGCATTCAAGACCTGGAAACAACCAATCCATCAGCAACACGTCTTACAGAAATGAGCAACGAATCTCCATACCGTCCACGACCGCGAGTTGTCAGCTTCCTCTTCTTTGGCCGACTCTCGTAGTCATCGTCATCATTCTCATCTTCGTCGCTACCGTCAACAGAGCTGGATTCTTCCTCGTCATCATTCTGGCGGCGAGCATCACCCTCGAGACGGGCCTCGAACTCCGCCCTCTCCTTCTTGCGACGCATATTGGCGGCGCTATTGTCCTCCCATAATCCGTCGGCTATAGCCCGAACCGGATTCTCGAATCCCTCGTACATACGATTCTTGAGAGTCTGAAGTGCTGTCTGGGCCTCTTCGCCCCTCTTGGCTCGCTGCTCCTTCATCAAGTGATCGTTTACCTAAAACGAATCACCATTTTCGGACAACTCGAGCTGCTTAGTGCGACGCGGAAGGAAGCGCATGTCGATGGTCGTCTCGAGATGACGCTTTCCGGTACTGACCGCGAATTCGTCATCCCCCTCATCATAAGGGCCTTCATCGATATGCATGTTGATTCGAAGAAACTGGGTGTCAATGCGGGAGAGCGCATGCATGACGAGTGATCTACTATCGAACAGCTCGATGGCGCTCGAATACGGGCTTCTCGACTCTTGGCTGCTGTTCTTAGAAACTGATCCGCTACCAGGGCGACCCTGATCGTTTTCAGGTGACACCGTGATTGTCAAAGTGTGGAGGAAAATTCTTGGGGTCTTTCCATCCACTACTTGGCCAGCAAGCAGGTATCTGCCCCTTCTATCGGAGCTAGTCAGGACATCAAGTGCCTGCTCCATAAGCTCCCTGTATTGTGTGCCGGATCTGTTCGGCTCGAGTTCGATACTTAAGTGTCGCAGCAAGTGTCCATACTTTGCGATGTTGATTTCGTATAAGCCGTATTGGCTGTCTGCTTTACGCTTACGCTTGTTACGACCCTCGATTTTCTTTGGGGATTTCTTCTGCGCTTCCTTGAGCATGGAAGCGAAATCCACCATAGCGTGGATAGGGTCTCGCAATAGGTAAACGAACTGATTCTGCGAATAAAGAAGTAAGCTGCCCTCTGCTAGCATTTGACGGGATGTTCGTAAAATAGTCGTTTTATTAGTGTATTCCTCTTCGCTTTTATCGCCATTACCCCCGTATCCTCGTCCGCGGGTATTGCGGCGTATAGAACGGACCTGTTCAGTCCAGAGACGCTTCACATAGACGGGCTTGTCGGATACCAATATGTATCTTAGAATCTTTTCACGAACCTCAAAGGGGAGCATGAGCAAGGGAAAGATGTCTTTGCCGTCCTGCGCCGATACAGCGGTTACGACGTCTTCATCTATAGCCGGAGCTCGTAGCACCTGTCGAAAGGAGCGGGCTGCTTGAGAGTCCGCATGTCTTCTGTTCGCTGATCTTCTTTGGGGTGGTGGTGGTGGTGGTGGCGGCGGCGGCGGGTTATTCCTTGTCCTTTTGGCAGGGCGTATTTTAAGAAGGCTGGAAATGCGACGCCTCAGGGAGCTGTCTAGGTTTTTATCTTCGTTCTCTGGGTCTACATCTTGGTTTCCACCATACGACACAGTACGCTTAGGTGGCCGGAGAGGTGGCAACAGGTCGAGAGGCTGTGTGTTTCTAGGTGGCGTTTCGAACCTGGTAGATTGGATGTTTGCTGAGAGGGCTGGGCTCATCCGAATGGAGCGTGGTGAATCGACATTGGCCATCATGCCTGCCTGCACAAGGTGTTGTTGGTTGAAGAGCCATTCATGTACCTTTTGCCGTGGTGGGACATGACTGTCTCGGTTGGACTGAGGGAAAATCCGATCTGATCTTGGAGATATGATCTCTGCTTGAGGGCGTAGGCGTGCGCGATTATTGCGCTCGAGTGCGAGGCTGGACATGGCCGGCATATTTGCTGAAGATAGGAGGCTCGGATGATTCTTATGGAAAGTCGGCAATGAAGATAGTGTCGGTAAAGCTGTGAAAATTTCGTGCGGCTGTTCAAGGAGTAGCAGGAAGATGCAAGATACCGATGTTGGGTTGCTAAAGATAGGAGGCTCAGATGATAGTCCAATGCCGGGGACACGAGGGCATTCCCCGTGAGGGATGTGTGTGGAATGTCGGCGCCAACGGCGAAATCGGTAATGCTATAAGGATATGTCGGTGTGGCAAAAGGGGTAACGGTAGAGTGCAGAATGTCGGTGCTGTGTTGCTGATGATAGAGGGCGAATTGCAAGAAATTGTGTGCTGTTCTTGTCTTGTTGTAGAGACACCTTGGTCAATTGTGGTTTTACCGGGCCGTCAAGCGAATGGCAGGATGGGAAGAAGGTTTCAATGCCTGCCGCACCACAAGGACTGGTGGTGAATGAGTCTTTTCAGGTCGTGATCGTAGGAGTATGGTGTTGACCCAGACAACATCAAAACCTTGTCGCCCTAGGCAACAACCATTAACGGACCACGGGTCGGACAGGTGAAGCCAACAGGTCGATTGATTTGATGGTCTTCGATCTCCAGCTGACCACTAAGGTTTGAAGTCGTTCAGGACCTGAATCCAAGTTAGTGGTCTGATTCAAGAGCTGGTCGAAGCCAGGTCTGCTACGACGCATGTAGCAGTCCACAATATGGAGGTCTCGATTAGAGTTTGATATGCCAATGGTGCGACTGTTCCGTAAGTGATACATCCCAGGGGTATCTCGCAGACGACCTGATGAGATCAAGCGTGCCCGAGTGGATCCACGCAAGATACAGGACACTCAAACTTTGGAAACCAGAAGTTTTGTGAATGCAGTCTTTGCCCATGAGAAGTTTTTCTGTGGGATTACCGTGATCCCTTTTCACCGGGAGGAATACCAAAGGTGGGGACGACAAGAGGTATGGGCGAGGTTGTGATCGTTCAAGGCGAAGGTCAAGTAAAGGAAGACGGAACGTACCTTGACGTAAACAGCGTGTGTCAGGATTCCTGATGTCTTGGGATGTTGCTCAAGATCGTGTCCATGTGCTGCCACCAAAGCAAACAAGGACCCGAGAAGCTGGCCTTTTGATGCAAGGAGGAAGTTTTTGAACGACAGCGAGGACGAAGTAAATACTGATTTTCCAGCGAAAACCCCGTCACGGTCTCCATCATGGAGCCGACTGAATGTTGTCTGAAGGAAGAGATGACCATCTCCGTTGCTGGCGGTGATTCCAAACAGAAAGATGGGATGACGGGAGGAAGAGCTCGCATGAGTGCCTCTAGTGCGCTGATTTCATCTCCAAATTCCGACGCAAAAGATGCAGACCACTGTGATCAATGAGGAAGACCTTTCAAGGTTGCTTCTTGGGTGTCATGGCCAAGCAGCTCTGACACAGCATCACGATAATCTCCCACCAAGCAAGTGGTCTATGCCAAATGGCGGAACGTGTATTGATCACTGAAACACACAGAGCTTCCGGTATACGTTTTGCTGCATACGAGATGGCAACGAATACACATTATCGACGGGTTTCGGTTTCCGGGCACTCGTCATCTGTTCCTCCGGTTCCTCCGGGGTCGTGGCTGATATGAGAGACGAGGCAAGAAAGACACGAGATGAACACCCCTAAAAACAGCTGGAACTTTGAGGGGGAGCTCGACGGGTATGCGATGGCAGAAGCACACTATGGAGGAGAGTGAGCACCATCAACAAAGATTCCGCTCAGTCACCAAAAAGACACAAACATCGACATGTAAGGGGAGAAGATTTGGGTCATAAACCCAGCGAAGAGGAGCGAGTGGCTCACCAGTCCGGACTCAGACTTCCACTTGAAATATCCTGACCATGACCTGAATAACGAGATGGACTTGTTTGTATGTTGACGGCGTTGAGTGCGGGAGAAGAAGCCCAAGAAGCACCGAAGACGGAGGGATATTGAAGATCGACATGTCCAGGGGCATCCATCCCCTCATCACCTCATGGACATCGTCGCGCTCGCACCTTCCCCAAGGGCAGGGCGCGCACCCAATAATCAATAAAACATCCGACATCAGGATCGTGACTTCCCATGACAACCACCAAGGACAAGATGCGACATCCAGGCAACGCCCGACATGCGGCAGCAGTTCAAAGTTCCACCCTCCCGAGTACCGATGGAATTCATCTGATGGCTGAGACAAACAACAAAATTCATATGAGAGCTCCAAGAGCGCAAAGTTTCGAACGAAACAGTCAGAAGTTGAGTCGAAATCTCTCGGTTCCCACCTTCACCAGGAGTCGTTGTCTTCACCAAAAGGAATGAACGACGTTGAAAGGTGTTGGACGACGTTCCAAAAAGGAAGGCCCAGCCCTTCCAACTGACCCACCTTCGGTCTCAGACCCACCTTTCTCCTATCCAATCCAACCCTGCAGTGCGGCAATGCCGTTCGGTTGAAAAAGAAAAAAAAAGACGTTTAACATCGGTTCATCGGTACAACAGTACAAAAGCCGTTCATCGCTTCCAATGAACATACCTAATGCACTGGGGGGTGAATGGATAAAAGAGGCTTTTTTTGGGCTTCCTTATCGGGGCTCTTGACTTTTTCCTTCTCATGGACCTGCATGACTGCATTCCGGGTCTGCAGCACGAGCATCCAAGGGCGTGGCTCCGTCCTATCAGTGAATTTCAACGGCGTAATCTCACCGTATCGGCGCCTATCTTGTTACGTGATGTTACCGCCCTAGCTGGATCCATTTCTGGAATTTCTGTTCATGGTGTACTAGTTGATAGACAGGATGGACAAGCTTCGGCATATCGTTATCAATTCGATGTTCTTCTCCTCTTCTGTTCCATCTGACCAAAAGAGGCAGCTATCATGGTCTTAGGTAGTTGCACAAGTAGGTAGGTGCGTATTGATGGTACTGTGCCTACAGCCACGCCGAATCATCCGCCGGCCGGGCTTGACAAAGAGATTTCGAAGCCGTCCAGGATATCCGAGATTCACTCCAGGTGAACACCGGCGTGACTATTCTCAGACATTTGTTTGTATCAATATCGTTCATAAACGCGGTGTTTTGCTCTCGATACTATCAAACAAGCAGTTCAATCCAGACGCGGCTTTATCCCCGGGAAGGGACTATCCCTGGTGACCTTGTAACATTTTTGATCAGGCCAACGACCTTTTCTAAGCGTGCGACGAAAGTTCAGGAACCGTACCCACCTTCTTCTCAAGTCATCATTTACTAGTGTAAGACGTGAGGAACGGGAAAAAAAAAAGAGCGACACGAGAAGAATTGCTCCCAATAAAAAAAAAAAGGCGTCAGTCACAGCATCGACGAAGAAAACGGTGAAATAAAAAAAGACGGTAGGGTCATGGGATCGACCTTCTCCGGCTTCTTTTTATGTAATAACACATCATCACATGACCAGCCCAAGTTCTCCAACCGACTGCAAAGCCAGTGCCGCTGTTAATCGTTACCCGCGTACATACCGGCCGGGAAGACTTGACACACGGTATCACTCGATCTTGACCGATCAGTTGACAGGTATTTTCGTTCCTTTCCATTCCGTAACCTCTTTTGATAGCTTCACACCCCATGAGCACGATGAGCCTCGAGATCTTATCAAAGCAGGCACATGGATTAAGTGACAGGCCCTGGTGAGTCCAGGCCTAGTACTAAGTACAATCATGGGACCGGCTACTCCAAGTGGGAAGGGGCAACCACCCGCCGGCTGGCTGGTCAACCGGCCGAAATCTAGGGTTCAGATGGAGCACGAGTGAGAAGTCAAGGATACATGAGTACAATGAGAGGTGAACCTATGGGGACAGTTGATATCTAGATGACACCGAGGAGGAAAAGAAGAAAAAAAAATTGTGTCGAGATTACCGTACCCACATCCATGTAACGGATATATCTTGTCCTCCAGCTTCCCCGGATTTTCTAAAACTTGACCTATCGTTTTGGCTACCGACTCACTTTCTTCTCATTCATCATTATCATCATCGTCATCATCAGGAGCTTCCAAGAGGACACATCCATCCATATATTACAAAACAAGGTGACCGACACTTCTCTTCGAAATCCTCAAGAAAACCTTGAACCGCCTTCGAGTCCAGTCCAGTCCCGTCCATCCATATACACCACCAAAATGGGCTCCGTATCATTTCCCGCGTCCTCGGAACCTCCCAAGCCCTGGGTTGAAACCCCCCTCATCTATTCTGCCCAACTATCCAACGCCGCTGGGTGTAACATCTATCTCAAACTCGAGAATGTTCAGCCTTCGGGGTCTTTCAAGTCTCGGTACGTCCCCTTCATCCCCCTTCCAATCAGCCTGCCACGCTTTCAAGAGACTAACACCACAACAGCGGCATAGGCAACATGATGCTCCGCTCCACCCTCCCTTCTCCCCCTTCCTCCCCGTCCTCTTCTTCTACCTCCTTCCAGGAACCTCCCACCACCCAGAGAAAAATCCACTTCTTCTGCTCCTCCGCCGGCAACGCCGGTCTCGCCTGCGCCACCACCGCCCACACATTGGCTTGTCCAGCAACCATCGTCGTGCCCACCTCTGCTCAGGAGCCCGTTTTGCGTCGACTTCGCGGACTAGGTGCTACGGTGGTGATCCATGGTAGTTCGTGGTTTGAGGCTGATACCCACCTTCGCGAAGTAGTCATGCCCGCTTCGGCTCTTGAGGACTTGCAGCAGGAGAGTAGCGGTGGAGAGGGAGAGGAAGGGGAGGGGGAAAAGACACAGAAGAAGACGAAGCAAGTCTACGTTCCCCCCTTCGACCACGAAGATATCTGGTCTGGAGCAGCCACCTTGATGGACGAAGTCGCTGAGCAAATGCGCGTCGTGCACCGGGCCTATGTCGATGCCGTGGTGTGTAATGTTGGTGGTGGCGGGTTGTTGAATGGCATCATGGAGGGCGTTTGGGGTCCCACTCGAAACCCCGGAACAGGAGAAGGGGGGCTGGGAAAAGAAGTGGGAGGTGGAAAGGAGCCGAGGGTTCTTGCGATCGAAACAGTCGGCGCCGATAGTTTCAACCAGTCAGTCAAGGCGGGCGAGCTGGTCAAGATGAAGCAGATCACGAGCATTGCGTCGAGCTTGGGCGCGGTGCAAGTCTCGAAGAAGACGTGGGAGTGGAGCCAGATGGTTGGCGGAGAGAACTTGGTCAGCGCGACGGTGACGGATGCGGAGGCGGCCATGGCGAGTGTCAGATTTGCGGATGAGCATCGGATGTTGGTGGAGGTAAGCTGTGGCGCGACGTTGGCAACGGCGTATAATGGGGATTTGAGGAGGTATCTTGGGAAGGGGTTGAGTGACGAGGAGTGGCGGAATGTTAACGTTGTTATGGTGGTTTGTGGTGGAAGTCATGTTAGTGTGGACGTGTTGAAGGCGTATAGGGAGAAGTATGGGCCGGAGATTGCCTGGGCTTGATGGTGAGGGTAACCAAACGGTTTATGGATGAATGGATGGATGGATGGATGGAAGAAAAGCAAAAAGCACGATATGGGGCGTTAATGGGTCTCTCTTTGGTTGTGTCGATCGGTGCTTTTCCTCATGTAGGTCACTTTGTGGTCTGAATGACAACCTTGACCACTCATCAGCGAGTGGAATCAGATTAAGTCGTCTCGATTAAATCTTCAGTCTTCCCTTTCATAGACCAATTCCGCATAACCTTCAGGGACGTTCGCCGTTGCATACGCACCAAGGTCACGAAGAACCAGCTTGAGCTCTCCAAAGTAGTTGACATCACCCTCCTGCTCGAACCCGAGGCTTTTAAAAAGGGCAATGCTCTTGCTGTTGTCCTTGTTGATCTTGGCCATGAGCATCCTGAGTCGGGGTTTCGGACTGTTAGTGGCCGTACCGGCTTGCTCTCTCTCGCCGGCGTAGTACTCATGCAGGATTTCCTCCAGGTTGCGGGAGATGTACTGCAAGAAGCCTGACACCACCGTCCTTCCCAGGCCCTTGCCACGGTGGTCGTGAGAAGCAATCATGATATCGACTTCACCAATGCACTGGAACCGATCGTCGGCTTGCTCCTCCTCGTCGTCGTTGGGATAGAGGAATAGGTTGACATCGCCAATCATCTTTTCTGGAGAATCCACCTGGCCGGCATGTACGGATGGCGCTGAATTATCAGTGACGGGTTGGCAGATGATGAAGGTCAGTTTGTCGTGAGAGGAGCGCCATGATTGCTGGTTCTCGTATTCTTCCTCCAGAGTTAAAGGTTCCGAGGCGGTTGCTTCTTGGATTGCCTAGTCTGTTGTTAGCATATGTTCTCCAACGTGTTGACGATGACATATCGCCATCAATATATGTCTCACTGGATCCTCCATCCACTGATGGTACGAGGGTACATGTCTGCTCTCATATGGGACAAGAAGAGCTCGTGTAGTGGAAACAGCTGTTTGGTTCAGGTTAGCATCAACCTGTCTAGCGTTACCAAGCTACAGAATAGGGCGAGGCGAGTGAAAGGCGGAGGATAGGGTGAAATCGCGGAAGGCAAGGAATATTTTCTTACCAGAAGATTCGTTAAGCTTCATGGTAACTGGTATGCCTTGTGAGCGGCTTTGTGGAGGACAAGCAGATTTAGGAGTGAGATATGTGTCTGGGTTGAAGGCGTTCCTTCAACGAGTCGCGCGATGTGTTTTGACAGTAACATAATTCAGGTAAAATACCCACCCTTTGAACTGTAAATTTCGTAATGCCCGTTAAGCCCCGTTATAGTGGGTTATAGTGGTAACGTGGGCTTCTCTTGTGGCTTGGCCCCCCGGAAGGGTTTCTGGCGACCTCTTTGACAACTTGATATAACATGACATGAACATAGATCGCAGTCAACTGATGCTCACATACTTGTACATCTGAGTTCTAGCAGGGTATCTCGAGCTACAAAGAGGAAGGCTATAATGCAGCCCGTGAGCACCAGAGAGTTCGCCGAAGAGGCCAGACTGTATCAGGCATCACGGAAAAGAACACTCAGCAGGCCACACGTCCGGGTTCTGGGACTGGCAAACCAAATCTTGCTTACAAGACTTTTTCATGCTGTGGGTTTCTTGTTTCCCGAGCTGGGCTTGTTGCCGGAGCTATGCTTCTTACCACCAGTGTCGGGCCCCATGCCCTTGATATCGTCCAAAATAGGAGGAGGGAAAATGCCTTCTTTTCCAAATGTCCTGAAAGCAGTGCCATATGTTGCATCAACGAGTGGCCTGGCATGATGGAATGTCCTGTTGTGGTTTTCGACTCCCAGGAGATCCAGAAGCTGGGCGGCCTTGTCAGGCATGAATGGCTGAAGGAGGATTCCAGCAATCCTGAGACTCTCGCCTGCCGTGAGTATGATCCGGTCGACCAAGGCCTCAGAGTCCTGCTTCTTGACTACGACCCAGGGTTCCGCGTTGGAGATGAAGGCATTGGTCTGAGATAATGATTAGTAATTGAATCACAGTGTCTGGAGCAAAGAACTACCGTCAACCTACCTCACCAATAAGACCCATGATCTTCTGCAGGGCATGGCTCGGGTTGAGCTGCAGCATTTCATTATCGACAGTTGAGGCAAGCTTGTCAAGCCGGGTAATGTGTTCAACGCAAGAATCGTTAATCGGTTCCCCCGTCGACTGAAGCAGCATGGTTCCATCTTGATACGACTGGACTGCTCTACGCAAACTCCACTGCTTGGGTCTTGTTACACGTGCGCTGAGGTTTCCTACGCCGTTTTGCAGGTGCTTCTTATACTCGACAGTGAGCCAGTCGTTGCTATAGTCTGCGTCATTGGCAATTCCGCCGTTATGGATCATGTAGAAACGCATGGTATCGATACCAAAGCGCTCCATGGCGTAGAATGGGTTCACGACGTTGCCGATCGATTTGGACATTTTCTTCTTTTCCATGGTCCAATGCGCGTGGCTCAAGATCCTCTTGGGCAGAGGGAGATCCAAAGCCAGAAGCAGAGCAGGCCAGTAGATGCAGTGGAAACGAAGAATATCCTTGCCAATGACGTGAACGTCCACCGGCCAGCCGCCCAGGTGCTCCCGTCCTGGAGGCCAGTAGGGGTAGCCAGCCATGGTAATGTAGTTGATCAGGGCGTCAACCCAAACGTATATGGTCTGGGTCTCGTCGTCGGGAACACGGATACCCCAGCTCAGCCGAGACACGGGCCTCGAGATCGAGAGATCCTCCAAGTTGTTTGTAACCCAGTCCACGACTTGGTTCATGCGAGTCTGAGGGACAATCCAGTCGGGGTTGTTCTTGTAAAATTCGAGCAATTGGTCCTTCAAAGCGGTCATGCGGAAGTGGTAGTTCTTTTCCTCGATCCATTCCACCTTGTTTCCAGACTCAATGGATGCCACATAGACCTCGCCCGTGAACGGGTCTTGCCTCTTCTCCAGCTGGGATTCGGGGTAGAAGCATTCGTCGCTGACGCAGTACCAGCCTTCGTGCTTGGCCTCGTAGATCAGCCCCTTCTCTTTCAGTAGGAGCCAAAAGTGCTTGACGGCTTCGACGTGGTCTTGATCGGTAGTACGCATGAATCGGTCGTAGTCGATGCGGCATGCGGCAGCCAGTTCCTGGAACTTTGCCGAGTTCAAGTCGCAAAACTGCTTCGGGTCCATATCGTTGGCGATGGCAGCGCGCTGCACCTTTGTTCCGTGCTCGTCGGTTCCCGTACACAGGATGGCCTGGTTGCCCTTGAGTGTCTGCCATCGCTTCAACACATCTCCCAGAACCATCGAGTACATGTGGCCGACATGTGGCGCTGCGAGGGGTGTTTAGCATGCCGCATGCTCCCGAGCTCGAACAATTGTGGTTCTTCCTTCACGTACAGGCATTGACGTAGAAGATTGGCGTTGTGACATAGAAGGGCTTATTGTCTGGCGTCGTGGGGGTAGTGGTGGTCGTCGACGTCGCGAGGGTTCGTCGTGCAGCTTTGGGCGCGACAAACTGGCTACGGCATGACCAGCAAACCCAGCTAGTCCTCGCCAGGATGCCGGCAGCTTGCCATTTGAAAGTACGGCGAGCTGAGGCCGTTCGGAGGACGTCCATTGGCACAGTCGGTTCGCCGGGGCGGCGGTCTCTTGATGTGCGGTTGCTGGCGGTGCCTCGTCGCAACGAAAGGAAGGAAGAGTTTCCCCCAAAGTGAAGCTGCAGGAAGCGACACGCCTGTGGTGGAGGTACGTACCTGACGACGTGGTGCGGGGGAGACGGGACCAGGGAGCAGAGCAGTCCGCAAGGTCCCCGAATTCATTTAACCGAATAACAGCCCCATTATATGCACCTACTACACCTAGTCTATGGCACAGTTCGGTTCGTCCTCAGCGAGCGGTTTTCCAGAAGCACTTCAACTCTTCTTCAACATATGAAAGCATGTCTTCTCGAATATCTGGGGGTAACTCAATGTCAATTCAGCGACTTTGTAATACGAGATATAGAGATCCACATGCATGAATTTATTCAAATCAGAGGGGTGACCGAAGCGCCGAAAGTAAACATCAACTTATAATCTCAAATAGATGGATACATATCTGGGCTTCGTAGTATAGCGGCCCTCGTTTCTTTTGGAAAGAGATCCCAGAGGGCATAACAATAAAAACAAGTACCCCCAGCCCTAGAAAGACACAAGAGCTTACTCTTCAACCTTGTTTGGCAATTTACTCTGAGGTTCACCTGGAGTTTGCCAGACGGTGTTCATCCGATATACTGGCATGTCTTCAAGGGTTCATCCGATAAGTCAAAGCCGTTCTCAACAACAGCGGACGGCATAGTTGCGCTGGCCGGCAGAGAGATCTCACAGCCTGAAAAGCTGAAAGGCTAAAGTCGGGCTAAACATTTATTGAAGTCCAACGGAACTAGGTAACTTGGTCCCGCTGATGTCGCATCCCGTGGAGTTGAGACAATCGGGCCCTGACTCCAAGGGAGATCTGGCTGCCCCAATGCGGTTGTGTCACATTCGACGTCGCCGTACCTCACTAACACCACGATAATTGAGTTTTGTTTGCTTTCTCATTTCGAACAAAACACCACGAAGAAAAGGCCAGAAGAACGGAAACGGAGCAACGATCGAAAAGAAAAGAGGAAACAAACATGTTTCTGAGAAAAGCCTAGACCTCTTTTCTCTTTGGTAATCCGATTCGCAACAACGCCGAATTTCTCACAAGCAATCGTAGCGCCAGGCCTCCCGCCATCCCTACCTCTAGGTATGGACCCCGGGCGTCGACAACCGGTTTTAGTGCCTTCTCCTTGAGCTTACGCGAGTTAGTGAGATACCTGCAGCAAATACCCCTCACTCCGGTGATTACTTCCTTGGGAATTCAGGTTCCTCAAGCATGTCATGCCTAGCCCAACAACCTTTCACTCAACACCTCGTGACGGTCGCGAAAGGCTTATACACCGAGCCCTGTCTCGACCCCCGACCGTGGTAGGAAAGAGAGACACCGACGCTTTCTTCTTGCCAATTTACCGTGCTTTCTTCTCCCTTTCATTCTCCCAAGAGAGCTAGATATTCGGATTTGGCCCGTCCCAATATTGCGCCGCTCAGCCCAACTGAATACCTGACGCCAACATCCTTCAGTTTTTGCCTCACATCCACATTCCAGCATCCGTCATTGGCCATCCTTCCCGTACCTGAATTCATGCTGCAGCCCGAGATTAACCGCGGAAGATCGTGAAGAACTAGGGAGAAACAGAGCAGCTGAATCGACTCATCAAGATTCCAAACCGCCCCCACCACCCCTCCGCCTACTTTTGATCACTGGTCCTCACTGCTGCTCACTGTTGCCCGACGCCAGTGCTGTACCTCAGTATATGTGTACTCCAAGCGACGAGTGTCTCCTCGAATTAGAAAAGAAGCTGTGCTACGGTTCGCGTGCGTCTCGTTCGCCCAACATTAACTGATCTCGGTACAGAAGCTCTCCCAGGCGTTCAACCGTCTTACCTGCTTCTGGGAGCCCTCGAGGCCGCTCGTGTGCTGCGATAGTTCATCACCACACCTTCGAAACGCCACGTAGGCGTACGATGATACGAGCCATATTCATAAACTGTTGACCGAAATACACTCTTGACAACGCCCAAGCATGGTTGGGATGGACGCTATCAGCGCGCTCCTTCAAACGGGATCATGGAGGACCTCGCGCTCAAAGAGTCAGAACCCGTGAGTCTGTCCAGGAGCCCAAGTATCAACTGGCCATATGCTGATCTGATTGGCCCTGCAGCTATTCTCGAACTCCCCGTCGTACTGATCCGCTCTCCGAGTTGGATATTCATGTTGACAAACCCGTGGAACGACGACGAATCCAGCAATTGCCTCCGCCTACTGTTGAAGACGAGGCGGATTCTCTAGCCAAAGAATATGGAAGTCCGTCGGTCATTAGTTCTTATGAGGATGAACCTCCCAATCGAGGAGAAATTGATCAGTTAATACTTATGGAGCCGGTTTTGGAAAATAATCCAGAGCGCCGCTTCGTGGTTGTCACAGGTCCAGGGGCTGGAAAAGAGAGCGAACCAGCACCTAGCATTGTTGAGACAACACCACCCGTTACCTCTACTGACACAGCCCAAATAGGGGAGACCAATGATTGCAAGAAGTTTGTTCTCGTTCCCTCAGAAGAGATGAAAGATGGAGACAAGCAAGCGGAAAAGAAAGAACCGGAACTCGCAAAGCGAAAGAGCCATCAGGATCTGCCACGGTTGGATACCCACGTTCAAGAACCAGACACCAAGAACGCTCCCAAGGACGCTCCCAATGAACCACCGAGTGACCGACAAAGCCAGGAGAAGACTCCTGTCCATCAGGATGATGGCAAAGCGGCTCGTATCAGACGATCAGGCAGCCGCAGGCGCCCAGAAGCATGTGTTGATGAAGAGGACACCAAGAAAGCATCCCTGAAGCGGGCAAGCAGCCGTCGGCGCCCAGAGATTCCTCCTGACGATCAAGACTCTGCGGATACTTCTATCAAGCGATCAAGTAGCCGGAGGTACAGAGAGCGGCCTACCGACCAGGATGCTAAGGAGTCCCCTATCAAGCGATCAAACAGTCGGAAACCCCGAAGTCGACCACTTCACGATCAAGACTTTGAAATCACTGCTGATTCTCCTGACAAAGTTAACCCAGGAGCAAGCGAATTTTCTGCTAGCGTCGTCACTCAGACGGCGAGTAGTAGAGAGCGTGCATATTATGACTTGAACCAAGCAGCCGACGGAGTTTCCCATCGTCGCTCAAAATCCAAGCATGGTGCTCGAATTACCCCGTCAAATAGTAGGCAGGCATACCATTTGTCTCCTCCACAAACACCAGGCCGACCGCGTCACGAGCGCATGGCCTCAACACCTGACGTGCCTCGAATCGACTCCAGATCCCTTGAGCTGGGAGGACCTGGAATAGCTCCGCTATCAATGTACCGATATAATGACGCAGATGACGCCATGTCATTCATGGTTCAGGAAATTGTTATCCCCGATCACGATCTGAACAGAAAGTCTTCACCGCCTATGACAAGCCGCAAAGAGAGCCCGCCACCGTATCCTTCAGTTGCGGAACGGAAGAGGATGCCAAGTCAGTCTGCTACTAACAGAAGGCGTCGCAACTCCATGGCCGCCCCTCGTGACCGCAGAGAATATCCAATCGATGATGATCCTTGTTATCAACAGTTAGACCACCATGAACAGCCCCAGCCGTTCCGCCCTGCGGTCGAAGAAGACGCTTCACTGATGGCCCTGAAACATCGTTTGGGTGCAGTGGATATTGGTTCAGAGTCCCAAGATGTGGTACCTCATCCATCCGCTCTTGCACTGAGGCAGCAGGACCAGTTCTCGGAGGCGAGTGATCCAGGAAGCTCGAGAAGCGCTACATTCTCGGCTGAGGGGGATTACAGGAGGGGTAGGGCCGGTACCTACTCTTTGACGTCTTCCCCTCCTAACGGTAGATTGGTACCCCGGAGAGAAGATGAGAGCAGTCCGAGGACCAGGCGGCGGGCTCGTTCGCGGACGATGGGTACAAATCCCTATTCCAACAGCTCTCCAGTCTTGTCTGCGCCGGGCCATCATCCTTCAAATGGGAGCAATGCGCTTGCGAAAGTCTCTTCGCCGTTGGCTTCTCCATCTCTTACACGACAAGAGCTCGTCAGCACCAGACCATCAGCATCTTTTTGGGATCAGAATCCATTCGAGCCTGCAGGCCGTAGAGCTCCAGGCGCCAGACCGATTCTCTCCTTCCGGAATTATTCAGAGGAGGTCCGACAAGGGTTAACACCTCCACTGCCCGACTGCCCCTGGCAAATTCCTGGTTTACCGTACAGTAGAAATCCAGGCGACCGCTTTTGGATTCTTCGCGGGGCCGAGAATTTCTTAGTATGTCCTCATTGCCACTCGGAGCTCTTTGCCAATAGCCAGTTCAGACTCGAGTTCGTCGCCACTTCCTTACGACCCGACCAGCCTATTTTGTGTCACCTTGGCTCTTCTTTCTGGTACCGCATGGCGTATCTAATGACACTCAAGCAACGCTTGCCAGACCTGCAACTCATACGAAACGTAGCTATGGTTTCGGGGCGCCATCCGCCATGCAGTGGACCTCAGGAGACTGCCCGCAAGTGGTACGGGATGTGGGATTCGTATAAAGGGGACTTTGTTCCCCTTTTCGAAGTCTGCGTGGGCTGTGTGAAGATGCTGGAGGCAGTGTTGCCGAACCTGGCCAATACGCTATATCCAATAAGCCCAGAGCCATTTATAGCCTATTGCCAACTTCACTACGCACCTGGCAGGGAAAGATTCATAGAATACTTCGACCTTTTCGAGATGACTTCGGATTACGCACTCAGCCGTCAAGCCGCACCCGACATTCGTGATCTCGCGAATAGACTTCGCCGAATCGCTAGAGTCAAAGAATGCCCGCCGTGCCCAAAAGACCAGGCCCTTGTTGGGGCCTATTGGCATACCATGAATTTTCTCCCCGAATTCACAGTGTGTGAGGCATGCTACAGAGAAGTGGTCAAGCCTATGCTTGACGCCGACGATCGCAGGAGCGATATCCCTTGGAACTTCCTCCCCGAGAGACTTGTATCCAAAGCAATAGCCTCCTGTCAGTTGTCTAGCGAACGCATGCGGGAAGAGTTCCGCGAGGCATGCCGGCTCAATGATTTTGGTTATCTTGATGGCAAATATATAGAAAGACTGGGAAGTTTATTGACACCCGTGTCTAGAGGTGTGTGGTAAGGAAAGGGTGTGCTGCGGCAAGACTAGGGGTTTAGGGAGAAGGATAGACAAAGCTGTGTTTGTACTGAAAGGGTTGAATATGTGGTAAATAGGAAGCGTTTAAGAGGTACATAACATGGCAGCGATGGATGGACATAAGCGAGAAGGTAAAAGTAACAGTGAGATTTGCCGGATGATACCACTTTCATGATACCCAAGGTAGCTTGGGGTCCATCCAGCAATGCGTCTAAAAAGGATAGGTTGGACAAAGTATTGTAGGACATCAAAGCAAGGAGCAGATTTGAAAGCGAAATCGCCCATGAGGGTCCAACGCTCAGTACATGTGTGGCCTTAGATCTGACCTCGGATCCCTGCTACTCGTGACCACAAGCAGCAAGATGCGGCTTCTAGCCTCCACCTACCTGTCTCTCGCACTCCTCATCATCGCCGCATCGGCCGCCGTAGTCAAAGAGGGCTCAACCTGCATCATTCAACCACCCAAGTTGCTACCGTAAAGAAGAACATCAACCTTACACGTCCATCGAAGCGAGATATCGGTGACCCATCACTAGTATGGGGATCAATCCCGCCTCCGGCTCTCCTGCCCCTGCTCCCGCAACTCCCTTATCCCTTTCCAACCCAGAACTCACCACATCCGCCAATTAATGAACACCATCGACCTGTCAAATGTAACCATCTACATCCGCGGCATCTTTTTCTGATCAGCCGACAACTTATTCTACTGGACCTCTCTCTAGGCGGTAAAGACATGACCATACTCGGCTGCTTCTCTTCTCCCTCCCCATATACCCCCCTGACACGTCTCCAGACCCAGCGGGAAGTGGTAGTGCGCTCTTTGACGGCCAAGGCCAAACCTGGATCGACCAAAATCAAAAGATGCGAATGAGCAAGGGGCAACTCACTAAAATCACCGTCAAAAATACTGTCCCCCTCCCCTACATATCCAACGGGGTAAGGGGGGACAGACAGTAGTTTTTTTTTTTTCACAAATACTGTAGTTTGACGATTTGTAGAATCGAGAATGTGACGCTGACGAATATAGATATGAACACTACTAGTAGCACGAAGTGGAATGCGGTGAATACAGATGGGGTTAACACGTAAATTTTAAGGGGGCAGGTGAGGACTAAGAGTTGGACGGATAGTAAGGGGGATGCGAGTATCTTGTTGTGGTTTAGGTTGTTTACTTGCCCCTGAGTCTCAAGAGAGGGGCATGACAGAAGTTCTGGAAGGCTGGCCTATGCTTGCTTGCACCGACAACAGGATTCTGTTTCAGTCAAGGGCAACAGCTCCAGTATCTCCGTCAGCAACATTACCTGCTACGTCTACAGATCTGGAGGCATGTACATCGGCAGCATAGGAAGCAACATCGGACAACCTAGCTGACCATGTCGAAAACGTCGTCTTCGAGAATGTCGAGCTCCACGATAGCAGCAACGACGCTTGGATAAAGACTCATCCCAGCCGTGGATATGTGCGGGATGTCACTTTTCGCACCATTCACTTTGACAACGTCAAGCAGCCCATATACGTTACCTCTTGTACGTGTCCGTGTGCCTTACTCATTCCTTTCTTTTTCTCTTCCCCTCCCTTCCCTTCCTTTTCCAGTCTCTGGAAGTTAAGATATGTGTCCTAACTGCTCATCGACAACAACACTCGAACAAACTCCCACCCAAACCGCGACTCCTCCCGCATCCCCGCCACCAACGTCTGCTGGGAGAACATAACAGGAACCACCCGATATAACGTGGCTGCGGGCTTCCAGTGCAGCGCTGCGGCGCCAAGGGATAACCTCAAGTTCTCGGATATCGATTTCAAACCATGGAAGGGAGGGAGTATTAAGACGCTGTGCCTCAAATATCACGAATCAGGCGTCGTCTGGACTGACGACACGGGGCCGTATCTGGGGGGTCATCCGCAGCAGTTGTCGGGATATTGTTTGTGTCTGGTTGGGTGGATGGTTGTTGCTGGATAAACTTGACCGGAACCGGCAGTGAGCTGGGAGCGAAAATATGAGCTTCGGTGGTAAACGAGCTGCCCACTCCCTCAGGGTCTCGGGCCATAAAGTGAGCTCCTTGCTGTGCTGTTCTCTGACAAGACCTGCGATAAGCTGCTGAGTGATTGCGTTCTAGCTTAGATTCATCGTCTCAAGACAATGTTCCCGGTAAGACGAAAACTCCACGACGCGCTGCAGCTTCGGCTTCCTCATTGAAATTGCGCTCGAGTGTATTCCCAAATATCGTCCATCTTGTCGAGTTCAAGTTGAGGTTGATGACGTTGGCAAGCTGGTCTGGCGATATCAAAGTGCCAAGAAATGTCAGGTAGCACCCCAGTCTCGCCAGCTGCCGCGGGGTCAACCAGCTGTAAAAGAGCCACCTTCTTGCCCAATCTGGAGCTAGCGGCTGTTAGGGTCTGCCAGTGCGCCCCAGGCGGCCCCACGCGCGCACTTTCGACAGCGAAATATCCAAAATTTCAATTGGGTCTCCGCCGGTCTTGATCTTTTTTCGCATCCCCCAACTTCCTGTCAGGAGCACAGATACAGGTACGTCGGAAGCGCCCTCACGATCCCTTGACGGAGCCGGATTCTTGCAGAAATTATCGCTGTTTGAAAAAGAAGGCAAATTTTGTCAGGAGTCTCGTCACTAACTTTGAAACTTTTCACCAAATCAACAGCGGACACAATGGCCTCTAGACCGACCGTCACCATCATCGGCGCCGATGGCAAGGCCACCGGCACCACCGAGGTCCTCCCCAAGGTCTTCGGTGCTCCCATCCGCCCGGATATCGTCAAGCACGTCCACACCGGCATGGCCAAGAACAAGCGCCAGCCGTACTCCGTCAGCGAGAAGGCTGGTCACCAGACCTCTGCTGAGTCCTGGGGCACTGGTTAGTGAACACCCAGACGCGATTTTGGAATTACACGAAGGCAATAGAATGGTTCGAAAACGCAAAGACGATCGATGGAAGGATTCGAGATTTTTGTTGGGCGACGAACTCGATATCGCGAAACGATCACGAAAGCTGAACTGGGGGCAAATTTTCGACACGCAATTTTTCAACGATGTGGAGGATCATTTGAGCTGACCGTGATCTCACAACACAGGTCGCGCTGTTGCCCGTATCCCCCGTGTCTCCGGTGGTGGTACTCACCGCGCCGGTCAGGCCGCTTTCGGTAACATGTGCCGTTCCGGTCGCATGTTCGCTCCCACCAAGATCTGGCGCAAGTGGCACGTCAAGGTCAACCAGGGCCAGAAGTACGTGATATCAAAACTATCTTTGGGGATCGCCAAGGGAAAACAATGATGGCTAACAATAGTTTTCCTACAGGCGTTTCGCTACTGCCTCTGCCCTTGCTGCCTCCGCTGCCGCTCCTCTCCTGATGGCCCGCGGTCACCAGGTCTCTACCGTTCCCGAGGTTCCCCTCGTTGTTGACTCCGCTGCTTTCTCCGGTGTCAACAAGACCGCCAACGCTCTTGCCCTCCTCAAGGCCGTTGGTGCTGGTGCTGATGTCCAGAAGGCCAAGGCTTCCAAGAAGCTCCGCGCCGGTAAGGGCAAGCTCCGTGACCGCCGCCACCGCCAGCGTCGCGGTCCCCTCGTCGTCTACTCCGCCGAGACCGACGGCAAGGACCTCATCAAGGGCTTCCGCAACATCCCCGGTGTTGAGACCTCCCCCGTCGACGCCCTCAACCTCCTCCAGCTCGCCCCCGGTGGCCACCTCGGTCGCTTCATCGTCTGGACCTCTGCCGCCATCAAGGAGCTTGATGCCGTCTACGAGTCCAAGAAGGGCTTCCAGCTTCCCGCCAACGTTGTCGCCCAGGCCGACCTTACCCGCCTCATCAACTCTTCTGAGATCCAGTCCGTCCTCCGCGCCCCCAAGGGTGACGCCAAGACCAAGCGCTCCAACGTCCAGAAGAAGAACCCTCTCCGCAACAAGCAGGTTCTCCTCCGCCTCAACCCCTACGCCGCTACCTTCGCCAAGGAGAAGCTCGGCGAGATCAAGGAGGAGGGCAAGCCCCAGCGCGTTCCCGCCACCTTCAAGACCCTCCTCCAGGAGTAAATTTGGAGTTAATGGCAAAACGGAACACAGGAAGGTGTGGGTGCGAATTCGGCGTCACGGATTAGGCATGTGTTCACAATACACACATCAATGAATTCTGAAACCGAAACGATTTCCTTTTCTTTTGTTCACCACAATCTCGGTACTGAGCGAGTGACCTTGTAGATTCAATACCCCATTTGTTTACATGATTTCCCGTCTTGCTGTGTGACATGTCGATCTTCCAGCTGCGTAGGACAGTAAATACACTTGGCGTCAGTGCTTTTTAGTCGCCTTAAATTGCAGGTTGGTGTCAATGTGACCTATACGCAGCAAACTCGTTTCAAGGGACTCATATTCAACCAAATTCGTGATGTCCCAATTATCGTAAAATCATAAACACATTTGTATCCTTCCTTCGTCACACCAGTCTAAATCCCATCACAGAGCCTATCAGATCAACTTCTAGCATCCCAACCAACCCCCAAGGTTATCCACCCCCTCCTGTCCCATCACCCTCGCCACCACCTCTTCGGTATCAACCTTCTGTTCCACCAACTTCTCAATAATCCTCGCATCCGTAATCTTCCAGAACGCCCTCACACCATCCACAAACCTCTGCGCTCCGCTGTCCACGTCCTCCTCGCTCACCGCCGCAAAACACAACCTAAAGTACTGCCACCCGACTTCCTCCCTGATCTGGGATGTGGCGCTGAACATGTTGCCCGCAGAAACCAAAACCAGGTGCGGTTTGAGAGTGAGGAACAGCATGAGCGCAAGGGAGATAGTTGGGCCGTCAATCACCTTGGTCTTCTCTCCCTCTCCATTGCTAGGAAAGAAAAGGGGGTGTTGCCAGAGCGGGTGCGTATCAAAGTGCATCCGCAACCAAATGAACATACCACCCTCAGGCCAGGAGTAGGTGTATAGCGGGGTGGTGGTGATGACTTCCCAGTCGCCTGGCGTTCCAACAGAGGAACCGGTGGTGGTGGTGGCGCGCAGACGGGTGGACGAGGAAATCAGAGAGGAACCGCTGTCGAGAATCGTGCACATCCGGTTCATGCGGCGCTCGTACATCCCGCGGAGACCTTCGAGCCAGCGGACCCAGCCGGTCATTTGCCAGCCTTCGCTGGAGGGGGTTTGTTTTGCTGGTTGAGGCTGGGAGGAAGAAGAAGAAGAAGAGCGGAAAAGGGACCAGCCGCTGGAAGACGAGGTGGTAGCGGTGGTGGAGGAGGAAGGAGCTTCAGGCTGAGGCCCCATCACCAACTCCGCCACTAGACTCTGCACAAAACCCGAAGGTTGCTGCGTCGAAGTCTCAGCGATGCGATTAAACCGGTCGATGAGCTCGGGCTGGGCGGTGATCCAACCAAGACGGCAGCCGGGCGCGATGGTTTTTGAAAAAGTGTCGAGGCGGATGACGCGGCCGTCGACGTCGATGGAGATGTAGGAGGGGGTGAGGCTGTCGAGGAAGGGGTAGCCCGTTGAAACGGTGCGCTTGAAGATTTCTCCTCTTTGCTCGGGTTGCGAGGGCTTGAGGCCGCTGGCCTTGGCCTTGGCCGTGTTGGCCGCGGTGGCGGATGGGAATTGGAGGTACCAGTAGGGCTCGTCTTCGACGATGATCACGTCGTAGCGGCTGCAGATGGCGTAGATTTCCTTGCGGCGGGAGACGGGGATGACGAAGCCGGTTGGGTTGTGACCGAGGCTGTTGCGTGTGTTAGTTCTCGTGCCGAAGGTTCTAGGTTGAGTGAAGAAGAAAACTCACGTCACAGTATACATCAAATGCGGCCTCTTTCCCTTCGACACATTCCAGTTCGCCAACACATCCTCCAGCCCACCCTCTCCCGTAGCCAACATACCATTCTCATCCGCCTTGATCGGCACAATCTGCACGCCCTTCGGCTCCGCCTGGCTGAGGATATTACCATAGACAAATGTCTCGCACAGCAACCCCGGACGCTCCCGGGGGTCGTTAAGCCCGTCGATCCAGGGGTTGACGAACATCTCGAGCGTCTTGGCGAAGCCGTCGGTCGAGCCGCAGGTGAGGATCACATCCGGGCCGCCGCTGTAGGGCGCATCCGGATGGAGGTGATCGCGGGTGAACTTGCGAACCCAGTCGAGGAGTGGAGGGTAGCCGTTTGCTTGACCGTACTGCAACGCTGTGGCGACGTCCACCTTCTTCACGGGGTTGGCCTCACCCGAGATCGTGGGGACGGTGATGTGAGCGGATTCTGCCGCCGGGTTCTTTTTGTCCTTGTCGGTTCCCGGGTGATTCGGGGTAGGTTGCCATCTCTCGGGCTTTGCGGTTTGGGCTTCGAGAGTCTCAAAGGGGAAGAATTTGGTGTTTGGTAGACCTTATCATGATGTTAGTTTCCTTATCTTAAATACTTTGTGATAAGTGTTGTAGTAGTGTTTTCAGGTTTAAGTTCTGCGTTTCGAGGTTTGATAAAGAATGTTCAATAAATATGACGAAGTGAGAAAGAGACAAACCGCCAGCAAGATTCTTGATTCCGGGAATCTGAAAGAATCGATAGTATTTTTTCATCTGGCTCGCCTGGCGGCGCTTTGTCACCTCGGAAAGATGATGGGTGAAGTCGAGCGGCAACGGCTTGCCATCGGCACCACGTGGGGGACCATCGCGATAAGCTACTGAGCTCTCAGACATTGTCAGACTTGTTGAGCCAGAAATAATTGGGATTATCCTCGACATTAGATGCAAAGCTTTGACCTTTCTCTAGGAAGATAGATAGGTGTTGTTCGGGATTGAAAGGGTTTATGAATGGGTTCATAGCTCCGACTTTGGGGGGTTAGGTTCAAGGAAAAGATGGTTGATTACAAACCTCACGGTTACGGTGGGAAGAGCCATGTCAAAGGTTGGTGGCCAGAAACAACCAGTCAGATAGTGCGAAGCATGCCCTCTGGCGGCTCCGTTATCAGTTTCGTTTGTCCACAGTCCACAGTCCAGAACGAAAGATGGATGGCCTGCCCCCCTGTTCCCTGATTCCTCCATTCCCAGAAAGGACAAGGCCACGCCGGCGTGCCCCTGCCCGCCCTTCTGGCTGGGGATCGTGCCGATTCCCCGGATCAATCATGGCCAATCCCCCCCACCTTCCGAAGTGGCGGTTCTCTTTGATGGGTGTTCGTTTTGACAATCGAGTGCGGTTCCCGAATGATGTAAAGGTGTTGCAAATTATCCAGTGATATAGAAAATTGATGGTGATCATAGTCAAGCAACTAACTCGATTTTGTGGCACTTATCAACCCGTAGTTTGTCTTACACGAACTTGTGTCTCAAATGCCACGCGCCGTTGGGCAGGTGGTGCACTACTGCGTGTCTCACTCACTGACATAAAACTTCCAGAAGATTTCCTATTTAGGCCTCACCGAACCATTCACAGCAGAGTCTCTGTTGGCGTCGTCGTCTTCGCGAGCTTTTTGTCTTCAGGCTCATATCTGAAACCGAGCTCCTCGAGGGACTTGGCTTTTTGGCCATCAATCTCGAATTGCAGCTTCGCCTCGAAGAAGATTCCTCTTTGCCAGATCAGCTCACCGTTCCAATAAGGCGGCTGCTTCCCTTCAGTGCCCGACTTTTTGATCCAGTCATGAACCTCATTGATAAAGTTGGCATCGCCAAGTTTGGGCCAAACGTGAAAAGCATGCCCCCTTTTCTCTGCCTCTTCGTCTTCCCACTTCTTCATTTCTTCCACGGAGGGAAGCGGAAGTAGGTTCGCCCATGTCCGGGAGAAAATCGCTGCTTGACTTTCCGTAAAGGGGAAGGGGACAACCTTGATGGGAAGCCCCGGGAACACAAGTGTTGGGTGATCAATGTAAATCAGGTCTTTGTATAGGCCATACACGCGGCGCCCGTCGGTTACCAGTGGGGGCTGTAGCGATTTCAGGAAAGGGAAGGTGAAGAGGTAGCCGGTGGCGTATACGATAGCATCGACGTCCTTCTCGATCCGTCCATCCGCGAACCTTACACCTCGTTCCTCCACCAGAAACTCTTCAATAGCCGGGACTTCTTGTGCGCGAATCCATTCCAAGTGAGCCGGTGGTGTAGCGGAATGGACCGATAGAAGCAATGGCTGCTGGCTGACGCGGCTGATCTGAGCCGCGACATCAATGCCCGACGCTGAATTGCCAACAACGATCACTTTTTTGTTTGTGAAGGGCTCGGGGGTCCGGTACAGCTTGGAATGTGTGATGACATCCGGATGCGCCTTGTGGAACTCGGCGATGTTCTTGACATCTGGAAGATAGGTGGTGTAGTAATGGCCCGAAGCCACGACAACGGCATCATAGGTAGTAGTGGTGACCTCGCCCGTTTCCAGAGCCAGCGCATCCACATCCCACTGATCCCGGCCGTCGCTATCCTGCCTTAGACGGACATCTTGAACCAAGGTTGAAAACCTGACAAGATGCCGGATGTCTTTGGCATACTCCACCAAATACTCCTGCACCAGCTCACGGGAAGGGAAGATGAGCGAATCTTGGGGGAACGGCTTGTCTGAAAACTGCATCAGATGGCGTGGGATGTTGGTGTGCAAGACCTCGTACATGGGCGAGGGGAAGACGGGAGGCTTGCCCTCGGGATGAAGAGGAGGGTCGGAAGGGCAGAAGGCGCTCACTTGAGGCACATGTAAGGTGTGTGTCGGTTCCCTGCTGTAGTACCAGGCTCCTCCCACTTCGTCTTGCCGTTCAAAGATGACAATGTCTTCAAAGACCTTTTGGGCGATCAGGTACTTGGCGGCAGCGAGACCGGAGGGACCAGCCCCAATAATGGCGATCTTTTTGACATTGAAACGCCTTTCTTGTGAGCCCATGATGTTTGAAGTGGTGATGGCAGATCAGAAAGATGGTAAACAAGTTTGTAGTGTATGTCAGAAGAATCAGATCGTAAGGGTCAAACTTGGTTGAGTTCCACGGATGAGGCAATCACGAGATGGTATGGTGATGTTGACTGACGGGGACAAGGATTAAATCACGCACTGACCTCCCATTGCACCAAGCGCCAAGCCCGAGGGAGGATGGAAATTGTTAGTGAGAGCTTGTCAGTGTCAGCTGGGCTTCCACCGCCTTCCCTTTTAAGACGGACGACGCAAACGGCAAGTCCACGCTGGAGCTGTGGCACGCGAGACTGCCCGCCCTGTCGCACTGGGGAAAGCTTTCACAGTTCAGTTCATTCATTGCATCACCAACTGGACCTACCTACCTAGCAAACGGCAGCGTGCCTACTACCTACCCAGCTCTTTGAAGCTGTCACCTCATCATCACCTGGGATGTCCCCGTCCGTCTACATTTTTCCCTCTTTTCCCGCCGTTTAGTCGAGGTTACGTGAGATCCTGTCGACTACCTCAGCATCTTGTCTGGATGTGAAATTAAACTGCGGGAGTCTAGTTTGCTCTCGGTTGTTGTGTTGTCTTGGTTGATTTCCATCTGACAAGGGAAATCAGCAATCTTTCTTTTTCGTCTGAGGCACCTTGTTGGCCCTGTCACACAGTCACTGATCCTAGCGCCAAACGAGCTGTCAGATCTGCCTACACCTTACCTACACCACGCTGTACCTGCTGCAACACCCTGCGCGCTGGCTTCGCGACGGGCTTCACTCTTAATGACATAATCGTCTTGACTTTTCCGAGCTTTCCTAGAGGGAGACACGAAATTTCTGGCCCCGGCCAATTCGACTCGCACGAAAATGGCATCGGCCGATGCGATCCATGGTGCAGCCGTCACGGCTCTCGAATCGCGGACAGTGACGCCAATTGCGCAACTGGACCCAGAACTCTCAGACCAGAACTCGCGAAGTGTTCGAGGCGAAGTCACCATCACATGGCCTTACAACCGGGTCACCCATACTCTCGCTTTCCTACTCGCCGAGCCCGATGTGCGCCTCCGTCGATCCAAGGGTCAAGTGCGGGTGCAGCTCCATGGACCCAGCGCAAAGGCTGTGTCCGAGTGCGGATTGGGAGCTTGCGATGAGGTGCTGCTCAGTCTCGACGGTGTCGAGTGGGCAAAGGACGAGTCCCCCGGGCGGATTCTTGGAGCTCGAGTAGACTGGCAGTTGCAGTTCAACCGAAGGCTGGTGCTCCAGGTGAAGCTGAACGGATCCGACGAACCGAAACACATCAACGTCGATAGCAGACAAACCGAGTTGCCGAATGAGCTACCAGAACCATCAGCGATACAGCAGCTGGAACAGACCGTAATCGAGCCTGAACCGGCTGTGTTCGACAAGCTATCCGCTATCCGACAGGTCCCAGATATTGCCTTGAACGAATACCCGTCGCCTGCTTTCATCAAGAGGGCTAGAATTTCATACGGCTCCCTTTTCGACGATGGACTGGACATATTTGAGGAGGATGGTGGCATCAAGGGCAAAGGTCGCAAGCGATCACGCTTTGCGCGGAAGAGCAACACATGGAGATACTCCAGTAAATCCCCGACTCCCGAACCGGAAATCATGCCCGAGGAGGACCCAGTGAGCCAGCCACAGTCACCGGATGGCGATGCTATGGAAGAAGATACGGTCACAGAAGAAGCGCCTGCACCAAAACCCAAGATGACGGATGGAGCTAGCCAGACGGTTGAGTCTGAGATGACGCCGAATCTACCGGCGGCATCCGGGCCGGCCTCAGCAGAAAAGGTGGAAGCTGTTCCACGCCCGGCCATCTGGGAGAAGGTGGATATGGGAAACCAGGAGACATCAACGGATACCGCGCTCCAAGAGACAGAAGCGGCCCAGGCTGCCTCTCACATTCTTGGCATGGCACATGGAGCCCCAAGCCAGCCATATACATACCAACATACCGACAGCCAAGCACACCCGGCGGCCGACTCTCTAGTTGGATCCTCAAAACCCATGGTACCTGGCCTTTCCATGTTTGGCACACCGGCTAGTGTTCCGGTTGAGTCCGAGTATGGTATCGCCAGCCAAGTCAGGTTTGGTTTTTCGCACACACCTCAAATTCCCCAATCAGGAGTTCCAGAACCACAGATGCACGCTGCACCAGAACCTGGACCGTATCCAGATTCTTACCTCGATCATTCCGTCCCCGCTAAGTACGAGGGCATGGAGTCGTACATGAACATTGCCCAGAGTAACCCCGAGCTTCAGCATGGCCAGGATTATAACCTAGTACCGGTGCCGACGGGTACGGAGAGTTTTGAGCGAGGGCAGTGGGAGATGGCAACCCAGGCACCGCATTACAACCCAATTGAGGGTGGTCACTTTGGCGCCGATGCTCTTAACGAAGGTACCCCAGCTATCATCGAGGATCATTCGCTGCACGCCGATCCGACCCGTCCAGATCAAGTTCCGAAAGGCTTCAGCAGCTACGGTCCGGGCACCGAAGACCCTGTTGGCTTTGAAGAGTCCGAATCACGAGCAGAATCTGAACAAGATACAGAGAGATCTGAGATTGAGGAGCTTGTGGAGGATGTGGTGCTTGACGAGGCCGATGAAGATGACGTTGGTGTTGATGACGAGGTCGAACATGATGAATTCGGAGAGGAACTCGAAGAAGGCGACTATGATCAACGCGAATACAACAAGCCCGAAAGCGACGATGAGGGAATCAGTCAGGATGAAGAAGAAGCTGAGCTGGAAGCAGCAGAGCGATATGGCGAGGACGATGTTTACGATGATGACGACGATGAAATGGACGACTATGCCGAAGACTGGGAGCGAGAGCGCACGCCTTATGATGAGGATGAGGATGAGGATGAGGATGAGGATGCGTACGAGTCCGAGGATCCTGACCTCAGTCAGCGCCTTCCCAGGCGCGCACCAGCTGCTGCCGCGCCGGCGGATCCAGTCGTTATCAGCTTGTTGTCAGATTCGGAGGACGAAGATAAGGCTTCTCCACCACCTCAACCAGCTCCCCCTGTGAGCAGACGTACGATGGCTCGACAACTTAGCATTCGCCATTCATCCCCACCCGTGCGCGCACCTACATCTACAGAAGGCACCAGTCTTCAGCAAAGGGAGAAATCTTTGTCTGCCGAAAAGGAAGAACCCACCGTTAAGCAACCTGTTGCGAAAGAGGAGCCTACTGAAAATTCATCAGAATCATGGGTCGGACACCTGGATAAATCATTTTCAGCAGATCAGATGGACCATGACCTTCAGCCCAAAGAGGACACAAAGCCACTGGGGTTTGCGATGGAGATCGTTCATGCAGAACCAGCTGCTAGCGCAGATGCTGGAGCGGCTCCAACTTCCGAAGTAGCACATGCCAAGGATGAGAGCAGTGAAGTAGGGAGTCCCGTGCAAAACACCGAGCCGCTCAAGACCATCGATACCCCATGGACAAAACAAGCCGAAAAGCACGAATCCGACTTAAAGCCCCGCGAAGAGGCTTCACCCAAGACGGCGGGTGATCAACTCAAAGAGCAACAGGAAGACCCCAAGTCTGAGTCCGAAGTCAATGACGAGACATTCGAAGGGTTCTCGAGTGATACACAGATTGTTGAGCGGCCTGAGGAAGATGCCGAGTCAGCAGAGGACGAGATGCTGGACGAAGATGAGGAAGACAATAGTGAGATCGCGGAGGAAGACGAAGGAGATGAGAATGAAGAACAGGATGCCGGTGAACAGGTTGTGGATCTGCTTGATACGACCAGTGAGGAAGAAGACGAAGAAGAAGAGGCGGAGGAGGGACATGAGGAAGAGGATGACGATTTCGAGCCGGTTGAGAGCGAAAGCGAGGAAGAGGTGCTCGAAGAGATTCACGAGGAGAACAAAGCGGCGGTGGATGAGGAAGGCTTCGAAAAGGTGGAAAACGACGACGAGAAAGAGATCGTTCTGGAAGTGGAGGAGGAGAAGAAGATCAAGGTGGAGCAGGAGGTTGAAGAGAAGGATGAAGGCGTGAAGGCTGGGGAAGACGAGATTGTCGATGAGAAGGCAGTCGCTACTGAGGCTACAGGCATCGTTGTAGCCAAGGAGACTGATACTGACGTCTCAGAGGTCAAGGACACCAAACCGGATGTTCAAGAGGTCAAAATTGAGAAAGGCGGTGTCAAGGAGATCTCGGAGACCGCTGATGAGCTCAAGAAAGAGGAGCCCCAAGCTGACCAGGGTGAAACTCAGGGCCCGGCGAAGTCGCTTAACGCTCTTGAAGAGACCGTGCAAGAAACCATAAGCATCCACGAGGAGCGGGCGGAGATCAACAATGTTGGTACCATCAGTGAAGCTGAGCCGAAAGCATCGTTCACGGCTACAGCCCCTGCAGATGAAAGAGAGAAAACACCTGATCGCGTGGAGGAGGTTGATGAAATGGAAGCAATCCAACATCAGCTCTTCGAAGACATGGTCCGTGCGTCCAGAGAAGCCAGCATGATGGAAGTCAGCGATGCCGAGCACGTCTCACTCATGTCACAAGATACCCCCAGACCTATTCAACTTGACTCGGATGAGGAGATGGGAGATGGCGACGATGAGGACGTGGAGATGGCGGACGCGGCCACTCCTCGGCCCGAAACCCATACCGAGGAGGACCAGGTGTCGCAGGCAGTTGAAGTCGAAATGACGAGCGAGACCATCGAAGTCGACTCGGATAGCATGTCAGTGAGCCACGAAGAGTCTGTCGAAGTTGTAGTCATCAAAGCACCGCATGTGCAAGATTTTACCATGGAGGATGCCGAAATGGTGGTGGAGGTGGAGGAGGAGACCCAAATCACTGTCGAGAAAGAAGTCACAGTTACGGAAGCTCCGGCAGTCGCGCAAGCAAGCCCATCTGCAACTGTAGATGTCACAAACCACGCCCACGAGCAGGCTGTTCTTCCCTCTTCCCCGCTGATTCAGCCTTTTGCTAGCCAGGTCGCAGAAGATCAGGTTATGCTAGTTGGATCATCTTCACCAGCAAGGGAAGCTGTCACCGAAAAGCCACCTCCCACTCCTGATCAAAGCGGCCTGCTTGGTCAGGAAGTGACCGAGTCCTCGCAGCCCGAAGAAGCTCAAGTCGCTGCTGACACAGCAACCGAGGAATGTATGGACGTCATTACTCAGGTGGAAGTGGTTGAGGAGACCGAGACAGCCACCACAAAACCTCAAGTGGCCACTACGGAGGAGGGTGTCGAGACCCAAGATGAAGTTTCTCTGATAGTAGTTGAGGAAATCTCCGAGGAACAGACGCAGGACCTCGATAAGAATCAAGCCGACGAGGCTGCTACCGATACCCAGCCACTGTCGGTCTCCTACCACGGTTTCGACGAGGCAGATGAGTCCAAGCAAGCAACTCCCACCAAGAAACAAGCACCATCCATTACCGAGCCCGCCGAGGAGGAAACTGCGGTGCCAAAGGAAAAGCCATCCCAAACGACTGTCACCTCAGACCAGTCCCAGTCAATCGATGGCAAGGACGCCGACCTCAGCGATAACCTTGCCCGACAGGCCGTGAAAGCTTCCGCTAAGCGCGGAAGAAAACAACAGTCAGCTCTCGAGCCTCTACGTACGAGCGCGAGAATCACCCGTGCCCGCTCCGGAAGCGTCGCCAAGAGCGTCACCACCGAAGAAAATGATGACGCCAGTAAAGCCGCCGCGCTAGCTTCCCCATCCAGGCGCAGCTTTGCTTCATCCTTCAACTCTTCTGCCGTCGCCTCTGAGGATAACGCCACCCCGCAGCCTTCTAACTCGCACCATCCCGAAGACAGCGACGATAACACAGTAGCGACCTCAGAACCGCTACCCAACGACCCTTCCCTCCTCAAACTCTCCCTCTCCCGCCTCCTCCGCACCCAACCACAATTCGCAAACTGCCTCCCTCTAAAGTCCATCCGTAATCACTTGGGGAAAAACGTTGACATCCTCGCCATCGTTTCTTCCACCCCGACCAACCCCACCAGAGCCAGAGGTGGACCGAGGGAGTACATGATGAGTTTCAACGTCACCGACCCTTCCACTGCCCCTACGCACGTGGTGGAGGTGCAGATGTACAGAGCCCATAAGGAGTCTTTGCCAATCGTCAAGCCTGGTGATGCGATTTTGTTGAAGCAGGTGGAGATCAGGTCGATGACGGCGGGTAAGGGGTTTGGGTTGAGGACAGGGGAGGGGAGTGCTTGGGCTGTTTTTGAGGCTACACCGGAGGAGGATAAGGAGGAGGAAGGAGAAAAGGATGGGGATGATGCTACTGCTGCTACAACTCCTAGACCACCGCAGATTAAGGGACCGGCAGTAGAGGATTGGGAGGATTTTGGTGGTTACATGGTTATGCTTAAGAAGTGGTACAGGCTGCTTTTGAAGGATGAGGCGGCGAAGGGGAAGTTGGAGAAGGCAGTCAAGAAGTTTGAGAAATGAGAGTTGAGGTACGGGGTTTGGAGCCGGGGAAGGTGGCTTGTCAATCACCGTGGGCTTCGAGTTCCGTGTGATAATTGAAGATAATTACATTACGATGGGAAACATTATGGCTCAACTTGGCTGGTATCTAAGCACTTATGGTGGAAATGAGGGCAATATGTTTTATATCGCTCGGCATGTCGCATGCTTCTAGGTATTGCGCTGAGCTTAGCTAAATCACAACTCCAATCATCTGCAGCCTACGAGGCGTTGGCATAATATCTTGTCTGCCTGTTTACGAAATATTGTACATACCAAGAGGCGGGACCGTATCTTTTGATACAGGCAGTACTCTAGGAAAGATTACAGCTTCGTCACCAGCAAATGACCTTTCTCTAAAGAACATCAACACTGGTTTATGTTACTCTGCATCCCTCTTAAGAAAGACACTTGAGGGTAGTGGTGCGGTGGTGGTACCGTTCCTGAACCGCCCTGACTCCAACCTCAAGTACCCACGAAAGGTGTTGTACTGGTATGACCTGATGGAGAAAAGAACCGACACCACGAATTTCGGGGAAGTTAGTTTCGAGCATCGTCGAACATCCAGGGTCAACGGTGTCGCCCTCGCCTCGTTGACGTGTAGCCGCATGTGTCACCGTTATTGACGCAGATCATGTCTGTAGAACGCCATGTCTCATCTACGGTCCTTGTAGGGACAGCAGCAGAGTGTTTGCAAAGGCTTCTGTTGGGGGTCCCTCGGGACTCGATATCGAATGGGTGACGGCTGGCGGGTGGCCAGTCATTAGGTTGGTCTTGTAGGTTGACATGCTCCATTGAGAGTGCCGTGTTTCGACTTCCTCGCGCTGGCGGAAGGATGTCGAATGAGGCGGTTGGAGGGGGTCGAAGCTGTTTTCTCAGGGAATCTGCTGCGGAGATGGATCGATATGTCAGTTCAACGGGCGTCTGCAAAAAGCGTGCTACGCAACACCAACCCCGGCCCTCTCTCGTTACACCAACTGAGCGCCTTCCCATGGAGTTGTCCGTTGTCAAAACTTAGCTATGAAACATGTGACAACGAAGAAGAACACCGCTGAGGACTTTCTGCAGAGGACCGAGGTATGCATCTAGTTAGCAAGTTTTCCATCGCAAGTACGCACTCTTACCAAAGTCACAACCGGCTCTGGTGCCTCGGAATTGAAGCTCTTCCATGACAGGAACGGGATGCGAAAGAAGTCCCGGCAGATGAGACTGCGCAACGTGACACCCGTTGGTTCGAGGTTGGCTGCCCTTTCGTGCACAGAGTTCGCCTGTTGAACCATTCCGGCGTCAAGGGCAGTCACTGTCCGTTGGTCTACCGACCCGTTCATTGGAATTTCTCCTGGCGGCCTTGGTGAGGATGGCTCGATGGGTTACGGAGTTCGGTTGAACATAGGACTGCTGCGAGTCGCTCCTGTTACCCGACGAACTCGGTCTTCCTCCCAACATCCTGAACCTGCTTCACCCACGAAACCGAGATGATGCCACTGCACGATCTGACCACCCTCCCAAATTCTGTTGAGTCTTGACTCTCAACAAGTGCTCGGGGGGTGTTGCCTTTCACCCCACGTCAAGGAACTGCCAACAAGCAGATCGCAATGTGCTCCTTCCATCTCATAGATCGTGATACTCGATTTTGCAAACGGGTAAGAACCTTGACGGCACCTGTCAGCTGATGAAGAAAAGGCAAGTTTCAACCGGGCACAATCATCCGCTAAACTCAGAAAGCGAACGGTTCCTGCCACTCGTATCTGTTGATGGATATTGATACATCGATACCTAGTTTTGCACCTCTGCATGGACATAAAGGGTTAGCTTGGTACGATGAGCCTACATAAAATATGGAGTAGACAGACGACAGGAGAGCCATTTCCTGTGCCAAAACCAAGCTTCTTTGCCACTCGCAGGAACCGAGCTAACATTTACACCACACAATGCAGAGGCGCCCAAGCTGCAAGTCATCGCCGATTCGTTTCATCTCGAGCCAGGCTCGGCAGGCACAAAGCACGAACTGGGAAGAGAACTTGAAGCAACGTTGAATGGGCGGGCCTCGAATCGTCGGTAGTTCCTCTCGCCAATTGGATTCGCTGCCCGTGTTTGGCGAGCTTGGTCTCCAGTGCAGAGCAACCCCTCATTTGGGAAATTCAGCGAGCAATCTGTTGCACGTTGGGAAAGGCAGGAGCGCAATCTTCCTATCAGCTGCTCACACTCGTCAGTGCATCAATCGAAGAGGCCGAGTTTGCCATGGAGAAACAGGATGGGAATCTGGCAATCCGAGAAATCTCGCCACTGGTTCCAACAGATCATTCAACCGAGGCAGGCGGATCTACCAAGGCGAGGCGCCTCTCGTACGTTCGTTTACAAAATTGAACCAAGATGACCGTGTTCTCGGTTTGATACTATGGAGCCCACGGCTGTCAAGTCCTGTGTGAATGCAAGTCAACCGCAGCGGCTCCTCCCCCACAAGTTTCCACGCACCTGTAGTGTACCTAGCAGTGTGGGGCATAATGACGTAGCTGCACATCAATAGTGCGGGCTCAGCTAATGGGAATCGTTCTTTGACGGGCCAGGCCCTGCCATGCGTCACTGGCCGGGATAATGACCCATGATGCCTCTTTCCATTTCCGGAAGTTTGTGTACTTTCGCCATTTCGCGAGATGTGATTCTCAGGCAACGACGCGGAAGGAGAGAGCCAAAGTCGGGCGCGTCTTGTGCAAGCTGTAGAAGGAACATTCCATCTGCCTGAACCACGAGAGAATCACCTACTTTGAATGGATGCAGCTACCAGAAGTCACTCAGTTCGTTCAAAGCCAAATCACTGGGCACATCCATTGGGACAGGCATTGATCGGACGAGACCGACTTCTAGCCGCTTTCAACAGCCACATTATATCCATGTCACGGCTACGCGCGGCCTTCGGTAACAGAAAAGCACACAGACAGCGCTTGTGACATGGATTCGGGCAAAGCATTGGTGGTCGCACCAGGTCATCCTGAGTGTGCAGTGGCTGCTGTTCAGATTTCATCTAACTGCGGGAGAGGGGTTCAAAGGGGCGTGACGTCACAGACAACGGGTGAAGGACGAAGATTGCCTCACTTCTTTGCTAGCAATTTGCCTGCAAAGAAGGCGCACATGTCAAGCAAACAACTGGGAAACCACTATTGAATACCCACAATGCAAAGCTCGGAAGGTACGTCTTGATTGCAGTGTGTCGAGTGTCAAAAAAGAAGCAAGTGTTCATGCAAGCCAAAATTGGCACCTCCTCCACTTCACCGAGTGCCCCACCCGAACCTCCAGGCGAGATGGCCGGAACATACCATCCGCGTTGGGATTATGACGTATCTCCTCCTTCTTCACATGATTCCATCCCGTTGTTGCTTGTTTGCGAGCTGTGACGGGAGATCGTAGATGCCACTTTGGGCCAGGCAGGCAGTGCAGGCAGCCAGGAACACAAGCTTCCAACTTGGTCATCTCGATTGCCGATTAAGGGAACCAAATGCCTATATAAGACTGTCCTCCCACCTCTCCAAGACCAATCTTTTCTTCTTCCATCATCAGCCAACAAAGCAATCACATCTTCACTACTTCAAGTCAACACAACACTCAAACCACTTTCACAACCCCTCACATCAACCAAAATGGATACCATCAAGAACGCTGCCAACTACGTCGGTGACAAGGTCCAGGGTAGGTTTCCTCCAGCTCTCGCCTCCAACACCCGAGCACAACTCGGGCATCTTCACCACCACAACAGCAGACAACTGACATCTCGTTCTCACAGGCGCTACCGCCACTGCTTCCAAGGAGGCCAACAAGGACGTTGCCAAGGACTCCAACCAGGGCGTCGGCACTCGGTAAGCTCCATCATCTTCCACTCTCACAGTCATCCTCAGATACTAACATTCATCTTCCTCTCAGTCTCAACGCTGCCGGTGATGCCATCTCCGACAAGGTCTCCGAGAACAAGCACGACGCTAAGGCCGAGGCCCACAAGCAGGGTGCTACCCACTAAGCGATTTTACCAACAGTCGTTTTCCATTTCCTTTTTATCAGTCATGACTTGATGATAATGGCCGGCTAAGGAGTTCGCCAAGGGCTTCTCTATGATATACTTGGCTTGGAATTTCGAAGGGCAGCTTTAGCATTACACCAGAACCGATACCCCTATTACATAGGCATGGACACTGGTCCGTTCTAGCTAGGAATTGATCCGGCTCTCTGCCAATTAATACCTCACACATCTATGTTTTTTCTTTCTTTTTGCCTTTGTGACATTGATGTGCCTTGCTGACATTGATGTGTGCTTTGCAACTTTGATCTTTTACAATGCTTTGGCATTTGGGGGGTTTGTAAATGAGCCATCGCATTCATGACTTGACTTGATGTAATATCAGTGATACGAAAAGTTCGGCAAACATCAACAGCCCAAATGTCTTTCATGAGAGTGCTGATTCAAACCTTCAGTAAGCTCAACGACACTAGCAGGGGCTGTGCACGGGCCACAAAGATCAACCCTCGCGATGAACTTCGCGTCCTTCAAGATTTCGGAGCCACTTCGTTAAAGCCCAGCATCCTTTCGTCAACTCGGCAAGAAACACAGCCGCCATCACAAGATGGCGTCCACCACCGCACCATTGTCATTGGAATCCTTCCTGAGCACACTTCCCCCGGATCTTTTTGACCAAACCACGCTCATCTCTCTCGCTTCCACCGTCGCCATCCTCCTGGCAGCCTATTCTCTCTCCCGCGTGGCCCTCGACCCCAAGACTACCACCTCCCGCTACCGGTTCCTCTTCATATGGCATGCCTTCGATGCACTGATTCACTTTTGCCTCGAGGGCAGCTTCCTCTACCACTGCTTCTTCTCGTCGGCACCTCTCGGCCATCTGGACCCCAAGGAGGTGTTTGTTGATCCCTACAACTATCTCGGAAGAATTGATAAGGTACATGGTGCGCAGGCTGTTGCTGGGAGGTTTGTTGACGGGGTTGTGGGTGGTCCGGCGAAAGCTGGGGATGTGGGCGGCGGATTGCTGGAAAAGGTGGTGAGGGGCACGGCAGAGTTGTGGATGGTTTATGCCAAGGCTGATAGAAGGTGGGCTGGGGTTGATTTGGTACGTTATTATTTTCCTTCTTTCCTTCCGTAGCTATTCCATGGGTGACGGAACTTGGGGGCCGATGGGATGATGTTCCAATACCTGCAAGAAGGAGGAGATATTGCGAAGGGTTATATGAGGAATGCGAGTGGGAGAAAGGTGCTTGTGGTGGTGACAGGTACGGACTGGACACAAATGACGAACATCTGGACAATTAGAAATTGGGGAAGAGTGAGGCTGCTTTTGCTAACGAAACGTGTCTTGCAGAGCGTCGTCAGTCTCGAGCTCCTCACCGTCCTTGTCGTCGGGCCCTTGGCTTGCTGGGTCTGCTACGACATCGCCAAGAAGAACTCGAGGGTAAACATCGTTATGATCATGATTGCTACTGCTGAAATTTATGGCGGTACGTATCACTTTCTTCCATTTCTCTCCTTTCTTTCTTTCTTTCTTTTTCTTTTTATTCTTCTCTTTGGCCATCGCTGTGTGCCCGAAGCTAACGTTTGGTGGTTTGAAAAGGCTGGATGACCTTCTGCCCCGAGTGGCTCGTGGGCAGCGTCAACCTCGACACCAGCAACTGGATGTACCTGTGGCTTTACTTGGCCTTCTTCAATGGCTTATGGGTTGTCATCCCTGCGTATGTCATTTACGTTGCGTCTGGGGAGATTATGGGTGCCTTCAAGGTCCGGGATGCTGCGGCGAAGGCTAAGAAGTCTTTGTGATGTGGGGGTTTTTGGTAATGGATGGTGGAGGGACTTGGGGCTGTTGATAAGTGGCAGTAACTCGCAAGTCTCGAAGCGCACTTATCCAAAGCTTCATCAGGAGGGGTGGGTAAGAAGCGGTTTCGACACCTGCCCAGTACGGGTGTTCATCGCAATCAGCGGATTCAGCACGGCGTTGCAAGTATGGCTGTCTCGTTGCACTGCATGCCCGTACGACTGTATCCATCCTCTTCGTTGCGTCATGTACGGCGGAGAGGAATGAACAGGCCGATGGGGATTGGTCGGAGGGCCTCAGTGGCAAGGTGGAAAAGATATGTTTCTGTTCGCCGGTTTGCTTCCTATCATTCACATGTGTGATCTTCTTCCCCGAGTTTGGTTGACCTTTCACATGGTTACCAGGAGACACAGCAAGCTCGTCGACATCTGTTGCCATCTAGATATCCCGGTGAAGAGGATACAAATCAAACACTTGAAAAGGCGAACTCATAGTGATCTTAGGAAATGAAATCGCAGTACGAGCCGTCGCAGTCATGATAGAGCGAAGTCTTGAATGAGAGAATTTCTCACGATGTTGGATTCCTCTTGTCGTGTGGAGGTTCATCTGGTTTGATCTCCGCAGGGACGGACCCCTTTTTGAAGTTCTGGGCCCCCTAGGGTTGTGTTAGTGCCCCTGGACGTCCCTGGTTTTGGTACCTAGAAAAATTCCACATTTAGGCCTTAGACGCACAGACCTCAAGCTTGGCGATAGGGGACGCTGGAGTCAGTCGAGGGGCTCTTCTGTTCCAAAACTGCCTCAAGTTTGAACTTCACCCTTGCAACGAAAACGGCATCTACCATGCTCCCACACGCCCAACTTGCCTCCTTCGGAACCAGATGACTTGTCGCTGATGTCCATGACCTGGAGTTCTCGTTGCATTTGGCCACGATCTCACACCGGATCTGAGCCTTTCCGTCGTCGTCCCAGGAACCCCAGACAAATAGCCTTGCTGGCTCGGCGGTGATGCTTGTCCACGGGTGTCATCGGACTCGGCATGAGCGCTTTCGAGTGCTAGATTTGCTGGTCAAATTGTTTGTCATCTGTTGGGCCGTGTTCCAGATGGTCACTAGAGATACGGGCAAGCTTACGTGCTCGTAGTATACCTACCTACCCAGCTTGAGCTGGAAGTTAAAAGACTTTATCAAAACACATGGTTGGCCTGCAAGTGCAAGCTTTTGAGGAGTCTCAACGGCTTCAGATGTGTGGGCCCAATGTCTCCGGTGGCCGAGAAACAAAACATTCTGCTCAGTATTCTCAAATCCAGTCCATTACGGTCGCCTGTGGGAGGACACGGCCTGAGCTGATTCTGCCTTCGATGAACCCATGCTCCATGAACGGACTCTCTTCTGTCCGTCCGGGAATCCATTTCCAGCCCGGACTCACCCGCCCGGTTTCGATATGCCCTAGGCTACTCTATCAACGCTATGTGTTTCTGGAATGGCCCGGATGTCATTTTGGTATTCAAGAATTCCGGGTTTGTTTCGTCCCATCCGCGGTCAACCTCCACGTGCGGTATCCCCCTGTCTATATCCAAAGTGTGCTCACAAGCCTTTGACTTACCATGGTATGCTTGATTCACCCTTCCATCCCATGTTTTCTCTCCCCATCCATCCAACCTTGATCAAACCAACTACGAGTCAGCAAATCCACGAGTTGGCTTTGATGACCTGACGACGACCGGTCCGAGGCCACTGTTGCGGCTTACCGCCATCGCCAACCTTGTGATTGCCTTACAACCATCCCGATGTCGCCATTTAACGCTTTGGATGGAGGAGGCGGGTGGTTAGAGTCGCGGGTCGACACACGATGGACGCCGGAAAGTGATTCGAGCCGGGCAGGCTATGGCATGCTTCAGTCGGCGACGACCCCGGCGGATTCACAGACCTTCACCCAATTCCGGTTTGCCGCCGCCAAATCCATCAGAACATCCACCGTCATTTTGGCCTCTTTCAACACCATTGCAGCTTTTGCGACAGCTGTTGGAATTCTGGTCGATACCTACCATCGCGAGAAGAGGGAGAATAAGAGGTTTAGGTTCAGGTAAGGCTGGCATGGAGCAGTCCCGTCACTTGTCATGTGCTTACGCATCCCTAGTCGGAATGGCTTCTCCTTTGTTCCCGCGACCGAAGCGTTTCCACTTATCCTATCAGTCGGTATTGTTGTCCAAGGCATCACATTCGCCGTGGCTCAGTCAACGGGACTCGGCTCGCTCTTCGGATCCGGATGCACCTTGATTGCCGTGTTCATGCTTCCTGGTAAGCTCAAATGGTGTCAAGAGTATGTGATGAGGTCTAACCATCTCCAGCTGTTTTCATCGTTCCATACATCCAGTTAGTGTTCGGACTTGAAGTCACAATAAGGAGCCTGCTAAAGAAGCCATTTGCTCCGCGAGGGAGGTGGAACGTGACAATCTGCCTTTCCGTGGTTGGCCTGCTTCTGCTTTTGAACTTATTGGTGGCCATTTTCGATCGTTCGTCCAATTTTTGTCTTACTTCGCTGTTCTGGTTTGTTGCACACTATTCAGTCTGGTGCTTTGGTCTTTTAGTGGGTATTTCTGGTCTGCTCTTGGTTTGCGTCGTGGTCATCTTCGTGAGGTTGCACCGGAGCAACAAGATCGCGCTCGTTGAGAGAGCTGCGGCTTCACGGATGGTTTATTATATGACACTAGCGATCATATCGGAGGTAAGTCTGCCATTACCATCCAGATCTGCAGCTATACTCACTCCTCTCTAGGCATTCATGATCCCATACTTTTACGTCATAGCTTTTGATGGCCAACGAAGGCACGCTCTCAACTTGTCCATGGTAACTACTGTGGTCGCCAATATCTCGGGATTGATGACAGGAGGCCTATACCTGTTCTTGAAATCAAACACTATATCCACGATCGGTCCGAAGAACAAGGATGCCGATTACGAGAATCGAAGGGAAGGGTACAATAAGACTGAACGCTACGAGTCCGGTGGACTGGACTTCGACAGTCACATCATGCGACCGGTGACGAGCCCCGGACAAGTTCGCCGCATGGGCAGCAACGCAAGTCTACTAAGGACGGCCAAAGACAAAGCAGAAAACAGCCCCACGACACCAACCTTTCTTTTCCGTGCACCAACGATACCACAGCACGCGCAGACACCCTCTGCCGCCAGCCACATGCGAAAAGAGTCCTACTCGCTCTTCCCAATCCGCCCATCAACCACAAGACCATCTGCCACCCCACTACCATCCATAACTTATGCACCAGCTGCCTCCCAACTTGCGGACGCCGATACCCTCAAACCGCCACCATCAATGGGCTTCCTCGCCGCCCGTGGACACCGACGGAACTCTTCACTGTGTTCATCAGCAACAGTCCAAATCGGTCTGCGTCTCTCATCAGTTGAGGACGTGTCTCCACTCTTGAGCCCAGGTACCGACGTTCACACCATCAGTTGCCCAAAGCACAATCAGAAGGACACGATGAAACCAGAAAGGAAACAGCCTCCTCGACTGATAACGGACTTTGATACGCCTATCGACAGAGAATTCCCGTCGAGGGATTCGATGAACCCAAAGCCCGAGGAGGGCCACGAACAGCTCGAGACGCTCAGCCCGACTGTCTATGATCCGAAAAGTCCGGCGGAGGAGCCCGTGTTGCTCAGTTCGAAGGTCTATACGCCAACGGAACCGGCTGAGAGGAAGTTGGAGACTCTTAGTCCAAAGGTTTACTCGCCAACAGGCTCAGCTGAAGAGGTGGTGACGCTTAGTGCCAAGACGTACTCGCCTACAACACCTACTAAGGCAAAACTACCTAGTCCTCGTAGCCCGGTAGCTGATGGCGGGGAATTGTTGTCGAGTGCGAGGTATACCCCGTGACGAACCGACACGACATCACAATACAAGCTAAGAGAGACTGAGATCTGTGACGATTGAAACTCGACGTCACTGAGACGACTTGTGTCCAATATGCCTAATGGTTAGGCACAAAGACCTAAAGGCTTTACTTTCTTTGTTTTCGCATGGCGTTATAGGGTTTGTCATTTGGGCTATATACCTAGACTTCACTGTCTCTTCGCTTTCTGTTCTCTTCTTTTGTTTCATTTGTTTATGCCCTTCTCCAGTTTGCTGGCACACAGAGGGAAGCTGTACCATATGTACCACTTATTTGAGTTAGAAACGTATCATGAATGATGAGAACGTATGGCAACGTTGTCATAGCTTGCATTATACTGTTTAGCATTTACGATTGCGCAAGAGGTTGGCCATCTGTTTCATGATTTCGTGCGCGTCTCACTTGCCAAGAGCTTCTCGTGCTTTACCCCTTGACGTGGTCTTGTGCTCTTGCTTCCCACTAATATCCAGCAATCCTCTTCCCTCAAACATCAACCTTCGTCTTCCTTAGAGAAGACAGGCCTTGGTCCAAGATATCCCGTCGACCCGAAGTCCCCGGCTTCCCTCACTCGGCTCGAGTGTTTTGCCCTTTGCTCGGTTTGTGGGCCTGCTTTTCAACACTCTGGGCCGTATGATCCCGTGACGAGACTGCAGGCATGCTAAAAGTACCACGGGATCCCCATCTAGTCTCTTGCCCTGCGGTCGTCTGAACAGTTCAAGATATGGAATGTGGCATTCCAATCCAGCCAGGCGTCCAGCCCAAGTCTTTAGCCCTGTGGCGCGAGAGCGATTTGCATGCAGACTGGGGTCATGCCGCAGCAGTTGCTGGTTGGCTCCAGTCCCTAGTTCCCAGTCGCCGCTGTCTTCTCGTTCTCGGATACCGCAGGATACGGGAAAAGAATCATCGAGCCTAGCCCAGCCCAGTCCAATCCAACCCAGTCGGGCCGTCTCCCGTATCCGTTCCCAAGCAGTCCAGAAAATCCTTCATCCATCTCCCTTCCCACCCTTCTCACCTCCAAACCCCCGCCCTCCTCATGACCCCATCAAACTCCTCCCTCCTCACCCCCTTCCCCACTCCCGCGCCACCGTTCGCCTCCAGTATCATATCCCTCAACAACTCCTCACTGACATTCTCCTTCAATACGGCCGCGACCCTTTTGAGGTGGGCTAGGGTTATCACCGGCTCTTGTTCTTCTTTTCCGTCCACCTCTTCCTCCTCATATTGTCCGTAATCATCATCGACGTCGTTGTGATCGTCATGTAGCCGTGCAATCTCTTGTGCCGAGCGACCAACAAACAAAGCAAACGCCTCGTCCACCTCGCGCATATGCGCTTCGCTTGTGCGGTCCCGTGACGAAAGCTTGATGGCGCAGATGGCGAGGAAGGAAGGATACGTGGCAAAACCTTCGTCTTCTGGGTCGAGGATGGAGGTGAATTCGCGGAGTTCGGAATTAGATTTGGGGGGGATGCCTAGGGCGCTGTTGTTTTTGGGTGAGTTTGTTAGTTTAGTCAAATTCTGCGGGGGAGGAGTCAAACAGAAGAGAGGGAAGAGTGAAGGTGTATGCGTACATCATTGCCCGTCTGACATCTCCTATTGGAATCACCCCTTCCTTCTCGCCATCCATTGGCTCGGCGAAAAGACTGAATGCTTCTTTGATCTCGGCTTCTTCTTGGGCGGTGATGTTGTTCTCTTTGGCTAATTTCGATTGGCGCGGTCCGCCAACTTTGGATGAAGAGGCTGTCGCCGCTTTGCGCTTTGAAGGAGGCTATAGGTATCGCAAGTTGCGACGAGGTTAGCGTGCTTGCTATCACACTACGTAAGGGAGAAAAAAGAGAGTTGGCATGTGTGCGATGATTTACCATTTTGTTTCGTATTTAATGTTTATTTTGCTCAATCAATTGTCGTATCAGGTGTAATGTAACCGGACGACAGCATGCGACTCAATCACAATTGGAATTCGTACGATTTCTGCGACGGCGGCGGCGATGATGACGATGGTAACGATGATGCGCATATGCGGCGCGCGCAACGAGTTGCTGGGCTTATCTGATGTGTGGAGCCAGGTGCCGATAACACACGCAGGGGTGGATGCTGTTTGCAGTGTCCAAGACGCCTGGTCACGTGTGCACGGGCACCACAGCACCGCTCAAAGAACGTGTCCCCACTTGGAATTCTCACTTCCACCTGAAAAAGGGCGTATCCACCGGAAACCACCATAATAAAAGTTTGCCAAAAACTTGTCGGATCTTTTGCTTTCTCCCCGAAACATCCGTCTTGGTTGAGCAAAAAAAAACAACAAAAAAAACGACAGCAACACCGCCATCTCTTGTCACCAATTCTTTCAATGAACGGCTCGGATGCTGTTTCTTAGACGATATCACACTGAAAGCGGGATTGCTGCCTCTCGCTGTCTGTTGAAAGAAAAAAAAGAAGAGTACGCGGGCTAAGTCAAGTCGGCCCCCTCGGTTGCCTACTCTTGCCTTTCTTCACATAGCGAGAGAGAAAGAGAGCAATGAAGCTTTTTGACAATATCAATCCATCCCATTTTCTTCTCGATTTCTTCACATACCCCCCTTTTTACAACACACAAAACCCTTGCCCAAAATACCCAGCTTCATCATTATGCTAGAGCTTGTCGCCTTCAAAATAACCCCAGGGCGCGCAAGTGTGGACAATGAAGCAAGAATAAATGTACGGCTGGTTCATTCCTTCAAATGGCCACCCTCCGTCAAGTCATGAATCATCTTGTCTGCCCGTCTCGGGTCTTGATGGTATGTGCTTGCGGATACATATCCTATTGTGACAATTGCACGTTCTGTAAACTGTAGCATTGGTTGGCGTGCTTGATGCTGTAGGACGAGCATGCTTGCGGCTTGAATGATCTTTTGCCATAAGCCCATGACATGTTTTTTCTAGCCCATTTGACGGCTCCTCTAAAATTGTTACTTGATCATCATGCTTCGTGCAGATTCCATCTGGGATCGATCGTCACAGGCTTTTACGGATGAAAGACGAAGAGGAGAGACAGTCTTGTATCTGCTGTCATTTATTATGATTTGCCTGACCCAACGCTCACTTGAAGTTGTTCTTCATCTCCCTCAACTTTGTAATGACAGCCACCGGGTCGGTCTCGCCCGTTGCCTTCTGGATCTCAGGGTCCTATCAAACGACTAGGTCAGCTGCAACCTTTCATCATGGCCGTTCGCCGTGGAAGAGTGTAACTCACATGAGGCCTCATAAACACATTGTGCTTCTTCTCGTCACCAATGGTGAACTTGCCCTGCGTCTCCCGGTGCTTCTCCGCAAAAGCTTGGAGAGCCTTAACGGCCTCGCTTTGCAATACCGACATGCAGAACTTGGCGTTGGACTTGGTGTATTCGTGACCGGGCTTCATTGGATATGTCAGATACTGTGTTATCCAAACATTGAGGTAGGGGACTCTGGACTTACGAAAACACGAGTCTCATCCGGCAAAGAAGCAAGCGTCTCGTTTAAAGCCTTGTGCATTTCCGCTCCATTTCCTTCGAAGAAGCGACCGCAGCCTACAACGGCCATGTCAGAGTCCCAAGCCCAACCAGCATCAACAATAGACTAGGGACAAAAAGAAAACATACCTCCGTGGAAAAGCGTATCACCAGTAAAGACGACCTTATCGTCCCCATCCTGCATAAACCAGCAAATGCTATCCTGCGTGTGGCAAGGCGTATGCAGAGCCTTGACAGCGATGCTGCCAATGTTGAAACCTTGGCCGTGGGCCGGAGTCTTGTTCACCTTCTCGCAGTCCTTACCGCCGATGATTTCGAGGTTGGGGAGGCCGAGAGCAGTGCGCTGTATACATGTGAGTGAAAATTTGCTTTGAGGATAGTGAGAGGGGGGGGATGCAGGAGGGAGCCTACAAGCTTGGTGTTTCCGCCGGCGTGGTCCCAATGGCTGAAAGTAGTGTGAGCTATGTATTGTGCTGAGATCGAAGAAGGAAGGTAACTCACTGGTGGGTGTTCACGATGGCTGTAAGCTTGATGGATCCATCATCGATGGCCTTCTTCAAGACGGGAGCGACCCTTTATGTCCGTCAAACCGGAACTTCCTGTCAGCATACCTGCCCACTCCGAAGGTTGAAAGACGCATATTCGGGTCTTGAAGCTCGCTGGTGTAGGACTCACTCCTCAGGATGCGCGGGATCGATGATGACGGCGTCCTTGGACTTGTCGTCGACAACGAGGTAGGCATAGTTGTCACTACTGCCCGTCCCTGCTCATTTCATTAGCAGGAGACGTTTTGGGGATTTCGAGCTTCAAGACAACAAGGACGTCCAAAGAGAACCGATGAGCTTGATGAGGCTGGATGGAAGAGAACATACACATAGGAATCGACTTGATATGCATTTTGCGATGTGTGGCAGCGAACTGAAGTTTCGTTCAAGTCAGCACTCGAGGTTCATCGATCAAAAGGATTGGGAAAGTCTTTTTCACCTGTCTATAGACGTGTCGTGGAGCTAGAGATGTTCTGGCGATGAAGGCGTTCATAGATGCAAAGCTGTTTGTTTGGTGATGGTCTGCACCCCGCAGTGAAGCTCCCAAAGCTCACTGTTAGCTCACTCTTGCATTTGTCAATGTTGGAGACAACGGCTTACTAACGCACCGTTCTGTTCACCTCCACCTTTGCTGATAAACAATTGCAGTCTCAAATGTAGCGTTTGCGAAATGCTTAGATGCGGTTTAGGGAGAGTTGAAGTGCGTTAGTGCCTGTATGACGTTATCACTGGATAAGTTCGCTCGGCAGAATGCACGCGGGGACAACATGCTATACCCACTCCGCTTCTAGGCGGGAAACTGTCCATGACGATATGTCCAGATGTGGTATGTAGCAACTCGCACCATTCAGTATATGGACAGCTGTATGCGAACTGCTGAATATCACCAAGACATTGCGATTGGAAGACGCCAACGGATGAGAACATCATGATATCCATGAAACCACCATCGTCAACCATTATACAACACCAATAGGCTTAGGCACCCACCCCTCCTCATACAACCGCCACGCCGGTCCCTCATCGTCCTCATCGTCCTCACCACCCTCATCCTTCTCATCCTGCTCGTCACCTTCATCCAACATGATAACATCATCCCCACCCTCCTCCTCCTTCGTCTCATCCTCAACCTCCGGCAAATGCTTCCAATAATAATCCCAAATCCACTCCAGCCCCTTCTTCGCCGCGGTCCTCAACCTCGTCAAACTCGGCAACTGCTCATGCGTAGCCTGATGTCTGAGTTCGACAAAAGTCGCCGGTAATCCAACGCTCTTGGCGACGCCGTACATGGACATCTTGCGCTGTTTATCTTGGTGGGAGTCCAAGAGGCCTGTTACGAAGCTGTTTTTTTCCCGAATGTTGCCCTTTATCAGTATACTTATTGATAGGTGAGGGAATATGAGGGAATAGGAGAGAACCTTACCGACTAAAAGCAGCAGAATAAGCCGCCCTAACCGCATAGCTTGAACTCATGACCCCAATCCCGCTGCCACTGAACCCATCCACATCCATTTCCCTTTTAACCATGCCCGTGCCTAAAGTACCGTAAGAACTAGCAGTGCCCCAGCTGCCAGCGATGCCGGTTTGCTCTTCGTCACTAAGAATCGCGGCCATGAGCAGGGCAGTCGACTCGACCATGTGTGGACAGTTGCCGCGCTGCATCCACATGGAGACGCGGGCGACGGCTAGGCGGCGTTCGTCTCCATGTCGGGTTTGTCGGTCATTGTTATCCTCCTTCTCTGTTTCGGAGGAAATGGCAGCGTCATCGGTTCTTGCCCGTTTTCGAGTGGTGCGCTGGGTATTTTGTGCTGCACGTCCTCGTTTGGCTCCTGCTCCTGCTCCTGCTCCTCCTCTTTGCGACAGTTGTTGGGGTTGCGATGCTGCCTGGCTTCCGTACTGGTGCGGGTAAAATTGCCGGCGAACGGCGAGGAGTTCGCGGCGGTCGCGCCAGGGTGTGAAGATATACTGAACCATTTCCTCTTTTGCTCCCTTGAAATTCGGTAGTGGTTGTTGTGATGGTAGTTTGGCGTTGTCTCGATCACAGGATCCTGTCCGGTTTTTGGTTTGGTTCACTGAGTCTCGAGCTTTGCGGTCAGGATGAAATTTGAGTTGGCGGAATCGCGTGGCAGTAGAATTTTCTCATATGATATGAAATATGAAGCTCATCCATAAACACCACAATGAAATTGGAAGCCGGTGCGAATCAGTTGTATGAACATTTCTCTCTCCTTATCATATCTTGATCGGTTGTTTTGGTTTCCGCGGTGGTGGTGGAAAAATGCTTGTTTTGTGTCGGACACGGACCTCCCAAACAATTTTTCAATTGCACCGTTTTCTTGGATCATGTTTTGAACTCTACAGCTCTGCGTACCCGAGGCCTCACGACCGCCAAATTTCTCAAATCACTTCAAAAGACAACCATGATGGGTATCACAACCTTATCAGGCTTATTTGAACGGTTCCGGCGTCATTCGAACGAATAATTCGCATTGCGGGACGGAAATTCATAGGGGCTTCAACATGCGGTGTCGATTCGTACAACTACCTAAATCCATGCCTACATGCCCTCATAGCCCACTACGGGATGATGACATGCCTCCCCATGAACTGGGGGGTTGGACATGCCACCTTCATGAGCCATCTGTACCTTTCCGGGCGAGTTCCCCCCCCCCCCCCCCCCCCCTTTCCTCCTTTTTTCAACCCTGGATCTATTTGGTATCTTTGTATTTCACTGAAGCACCGCCATTGCACAGCCTTCGATCTATTCCATGTCCGATCGTGGATTAACACCCCCTTTGCGTCCAGCTGCTTCGCTCATGGTATTTTAAACTCGGCGTCCTAGTCAAATAGTACTCTTCTTCTCTTCATCATCTTCCAGTCCATCAAGAATTTCGCATTGAGCTTAGGAGATGGTCTTCTCGATCATGGTAATACCGTACTTCTCGTGGAGCTCCTTCATCAAGGGCTCGGTGATGTCGGTGCTCATAGGAGCCAGAACGCCCTTGCCAGAGATCTGGCCGCTCAGGACCTGCTTAACAGCGACGGCGCAAGGAACACCGACGGTCTTGGCCATGGCAGAGTAGCCCTTGGGGTCACCGTACTCGACGAGGGTCGAGGTGCGGGTCTCGCGGGAGCCATCGGCGTGCTCAATCTCGAACTTGTGCTGGAGCATGACCAAGTCGCGCTCGCCCTCCTCGAACTGCATCTTCTGCTCAAGAGTGGCGCAGAGGGTGTCGAGAGGGTTGCCGCGGGGGGTGATGGTCTCATCAGAGAAGAGACCGATCCAGCGGAGCCCGCTGAGGATACGCTTCTGGTCCTCAGCGGACTCGAAGGTGGCCTTGGAGAGGATGGCGGCCTCGAGGTCGGCCTGGCTGGAAGAAGCAGCACCGACGATCTCCTTGGTGGCCTCCTTCCAGGGGGTCTGCTTGCTCAGGCTCTCGCGCGCAGTGTCGTCAAGGAAACCGATGTCGACGAGAGTCTTGATGAACTGAGGGAAGCCCTGGTAACGGAGAGTGCCACGGATGACGGTCTGAGCCTCGGGAATGTTGTAGCGCTCCTTGTAAATGGTAGAGTCGCGGTTAGGGTAGGCGACGAAAGCGTAGCCGGGGTAGATGAAGTAGGGCTTGGCCATCTTCATGAGGTCCTTGCCCTCAACCTCGACGATCTTGCCATCCTGCCACCACTTGCCCGCGTTGCGGAGAGCGAGCAAGACACCGCGAGAAGACCAGGAGAACTTGTAACCGAGCGGGTTGTCGGAGTCCTCGGGGGCGGGGAGACCACCGCAGTAGGACAGGAAAGAGAGAATCTTGCCGCCGGCCTGGTGGACCTCATCGATGGTCTTGATGGCGTACAAGTGGTCGATACCGGGATCGAGCTGCCGAGCGACTTAGTATGATTGAAAGCTTCGAAACATTTGATATGTCATGGACTTACACCAATCTCGTTCATGACGGTAATGCCGGCGGCCTTGGCCTCAGCATCGAGCTCCATCATAGCGGGAGAGACGTAGCTAGTGGTAACGACGTGCTTCTTCTGGCGAATAGCCGACTTGATGACGGTGGCATGGAAGGTATAAGGGATCAAGCTGATGACAAGGTCATGCTTGGCGACCTCAGCATCGAGAGCCTCATCGTTGGTGACATCGAGGGAGATGGGGGTGGCGTTCTTGACACCCTCAGAGAGCTTCTGAGCCGAGGCAAGAGTACGGCAGGCTGTTGCACACAAGCGCAAATGTCAGCCTAAATGCCCGTATTTTCGTTTCGGACAGTCGAACAAGAAGTGCATTGATATAATTGACTGTTGACGTACCGACGGTGACGGGAATGCCAGCTTCGCTCAGGACGTCGAGAGTAGGGCGGGTGACGAAGCCAGCGCCAAGCATGAGAACCTTGCTGAAAACATGAAACTTAAGGTCAGCATCCCCAGCTCTTGCGGTTGCCCAAGGTGAGGGCAGGATGGCGGGGGAGATGTATGTAAGGGGGGTAAGGGGGATGGCATTACTGTTGGGAAGCCATCTTTGCGACTTGTGATATCTGCAAGCTGAGGTGAATCAGACGCAGTGTTTTGGTGTTTGTCAGGTTAAATCCGGAGAAGAGAAAGAATCAGAATCAGATCCCCCACACTTGCATGCTCTCAAGCCGGCAATAGGTGACTTCGATTGTGTTATTGCCGTCCTTGTCCGCTAACAACCGATATCCAGACTTGACTCGCACTTCATCGCACGCGGTTGGAGATGCAATTGGTGGAGCTCCGGCCGATAACGGCTTCTGGTCAGTCGCTTTCATCCATTTTTTTTTTTTTTTTCCTGACCTCAAACGAGGGGCACCCAAGGCACATTGGTGTCGTTCCAATTGGCGCCAAGCACTCATTGGCGGGGTAGCGAAACCAGCTTGCCTGCCGGACTTTACAGTACAGTCTCGCTATGTAGTCGCCAGTCACTCTTGACAGCTGTCAACTGATGGGTAGTGCATATTCCTAGCAAACCGCAAACAGGGACTGGAACTCACTTCCCCCTGACGGCTGGCCGCTTATTCATCACTCTTTGCTTGATTCAGGGGCGTCCCAACAAGCTCACGATGAGAGGTAATATGAACACTCAGCAAGACATCACATTTGCAGGCATGCACGGAGGCCAAGGAATGAGAGATGGTGGGTGGTATGATTCAAGAACACTGAGATCGCATGCTGTTCAAATATGTACATGTATTTAATTGCAGAGGTGGGTATCTTTGTCTCCTAAACAAAACAAGGAAAAAAAAACGCAAACCAAAACGCCTAGCCACACATTCCTGATGTGCCGATGCATCTTCGATAGGGCTTCCAGCCCATACCCCTTTCTAGGAATCCGTCCCATAAATGCTATGCGTATCCCAAACCGTCGCCGGTATAATGCTTCTTCTCAATATATCATCATGCAAGTGTCATAATCGTAAGTCTTAGTCTTCCTCTTCCTCCTCGTCATCTTCCTGCTCTTCATTGTCCTCTTCATCGTCGCTCGCAGGAGGCTCCCATGCGTCCTCGAGCTTCAGACCCTTGCCGGAGGGCTTCTCGTAGACTGCGGCGTTTCCAAGAAGTGAAAAGACGGTAGACTGGTGAAGGTCCATGTCGGCAGGCTCGTTGGTCTCGGGGGGGTCGTACAGTCCCATGCCGTACAGAATCTCGCCATCAGATTCGTCGTCTTCCGGTGCCTCATAGGAAATAGGCTCTTCGGAGGCCATCTTGGTGTTGGTGAACTGCTCTGGCAGCTCGAAATTATTCGGGGTAGGCGGCGCTGTGTATGTGTCCAAGCCGCTCGATGACGGCGCATAAGAAGTCCATCCCATGACATTGCCTTCCGCCTTGGAGAAAGCAGCGTAAGAAAGATCGCCGGTCATGCCAGCCATGCTTTGGGGTGATTCTGGAGCCGGTTGGTAGAGCTGAGTCGCCGGCGAGGCATACTGATGCTGTGATTGCTGAAAATCGACGCTGGGGTATGGAAGTGTGAGCGGGGAGAAGGACGCCGAGCATGGCGAGTTGGAGCCGGAGTACACGCTTGGGGTTGGGGGCAGTTGCTGAAACTGTGTGCAAGCGCCAAAGTCTTGATAGGATGGGTAGGGAGCAAAGGCCATCGTGGACTCCTGAGGGTAAGGCTGGGAATATGCCACCTGTTGCGACGAGGGGTGCCAGCTAACTGGTCGTGCTGTCGTCGTTGGCTTCGTCTCCGGGTCGTACATGAACTCGACCGGGAATTCAGCCGCAGGTGTGGGGAGATACGCCGCCGCGGCAGGTTGAGTATAGAGATTCTGGAACCCATCACCGATCAAAGTCTTCCTCTTGGACTGCGAAAACGGATAGCGGGGGCTGGTGCTGGCGCTGCTGGGCTTCGTTATCCGCATCGAAGTGTTCGTCCTCTGTCCACCGTAACCCCTCGACATGTTTCGTGTATGAGCAGCGATGTATTGTTGTGACGCTTTATCAAGAGGTGTCTCCATCATGTTGGTGCTGAACATTGGGGCCTGATAGGGTGGACCCATGTTGAAGTTGTTGTTGTTGTTATTTTTGTTAACCAGTAACGGCATCATCTTGATCAAGTTTGGCAAAGAGAGATAGATAGGTAAAGTGTATGAAAAGTCTTGCTTGTTGAAGGAAGCTTGGTCAACTTTCCAAGTGACGATAGACGAGGTATATGAAGTGAGAAGGAAGTGAGAGCAGTGACAGTATGGAAACCATGCAAGACACTTGGGCCCCGGCCGAGGAACCGAGATGGAGATGGAAGTTGGAAGCGGTTGGATGGATCAAACCTAGTTTGAAGAGACAATCTGACCATATTGGCGCCGAAAGGAAACAACAAGACAGCCGATGGGGCGCTCAGGCATGTAAGTGAATCCCGTCGTGTGCAAGACTCCGCGTCGACGGGGCTCAACGGAAGCTTACCCATGACTTTGGCTTGGGTAGCCTGCGTCATATGTGCGCGCAGGGATGGTTCAGCCTGGATAACCTTGAAGAAAAGAAAGAAAGGGTTTCGGCTTCAACTGCAGGGTATGATGGGCAAGGTAGACGCAAACTGCAAAGCCGGATGGAGATATTGACGGGCAATGGTAATCCGAAGTGCTTCTGAGAGACGGCTCCGTTGAATGTAGTGTACGGGGTTGCAAGGGGAAAAAGGGCGGCTCCTCGTCGTGGATTCTTGGGTTGCGTGTTAAAGAACGTCCATATTGTGGGGCTTGTACCTTCGTACTTCGCTGCTGCGTTAGTGGGTCATGGCTGGCTACTTAGCCCATTGAGGACGGCATTGGAGTTTGTACCATGGCGGATACACTGTGCTGCCGCAATTGGCCATTTGTCAGGTACATACAGTGTCGACGTCTTGTGGTGCACGATAGCAGTGGGCGGAGGTTCCAGATGGGTGGTGGTGGGCGGTCAAGCGGAGCAATGAAGCGGAAAGAAACCGCCTCCACTCTCCAGCACCCCATCTCCATGGTGGTGTCTCGAGCCATTCTTTGGTACTCTTATCCTGGCATGCTTGGCGTCAGTGAATATGCGAAATACGTACCTACTGAAGCAGAAATGGGGTTAAGCTGAGTCGGTGGCTTGGACAGGGGTCCCATGGGGCAGATACTCGGAGGATCTGACGGATACCGATGCTCAAATTACATTGGTCTGCCGTTCGCAACGGTTGAAGACGAATTCGTTATTCAGATGTCTTACTTGCCGTCCCCGTCGTACCCGCTGCTTCAACGAACATTTTGTGATGATACACAGCGACGAAACCAAAGCCTTCGGGTGAAGTTCTCTAGCCTGTCAGCCGAGTGCAATGTCCGACAAAGTAACGAATGATTCCACTGCTGTCAGGCCGTGAGCATGTGCAAGGCACGGCGAGCTTGCATACGGTTTTAAGCCTCGATGATACCACTGTGCAGATACAGATACTTGGTATATCAGCTTGGACTCCTCGGGCAGAATGGACAATGCCGGACCGAGCAGGAGCATGTTGCCCGTAGCTACACGGGGCGAGGATCATGCTGACTTTGCAAAACTAACCGCCCCTCATGCCCTCATTTCGGTCATAGTGAGGTGGGAGCCATGGTGACATGAGCCAGGCGGGCACGGCGGGATAGCCGTCTGAAGTGGAGGAGAAAACCCGCAACAAAAGTGAGGACGTGGTGATGTACAGGATTACATTGGTAGTACGTATGTAGTGTAGTGTACAGCGTAAAGGTACCCACCTGCGCCACCTGTGCGCGCGGAGTGTCCAACAGCAAGGAGGGATTGTTCTGTGGAGGGAATAATAATGGCCGCCCGCCGCCGCGTCCCTTTATGCGACTGTGGTGGGCAGGGAGCAGGGGTCGCAACAGATTTGTCGACTGCATGACTTTCAGTTGCCGTGGAGTCTGACAGAAAAGAATGGCTTCCATTTACAAAGCCCATGACCATGCTCGCGTGTAAAAGGGAGGTACGTACCTGGGTACCGATGCGAGCGGAGAGCAACTGAACACCGCCCTGAAAGCCAGTCTTTGCACTGATGCACCCAATGCACGGGACAAATGGTGCGCCTTAAAACGATAGTAGGTGTGCGTGAGGGAAGAATGGGTGTGTAGGATGAGTAGCCAAGACGCATGCGAAGGTTGTGGGGAATTTGAGTGGCTGTCGCATAGTCTTGAGAGGATCAGCCAGGATCAACGTACCGAAGTATTCTCAGCGGGGGTGTTTCCGTAGAGAGACGTGTGTGACCTCTCCTGTGTCTCCTCTGCCTTCAAACCCTCGCTGGGTTGCTCCAGGTTGTGGGTCCTGCGGCGCGGCTCAAATGGTCCAACATTCTGGTTTCCACAGCCATGCCCTGCAAATACGCGCATCTTGTTCTTTCTGCAGCCTCTCCCCCGTGAGCCGGGCCTGTATCCGTAACGTATCGAAATCTGTCCCAGCATTCAACTTCCTGTTGGAATCCAGTGTTCGGCGTCGTGTGCCCACTAGAGACACCCCTTACCTGATCGTGGTGACCAGTGGTAAGCCAGCAAAACTTCTGCCGGGGTCGGTCAGAAAGGAAGAGGGTATGGTCATAATTAGCGCTGGCACGAAAAGCAGTAGCGCAGGATTTTGGGGCCTTTGCGTTTTAGATTGTCGTTCTTTGCCCTCTTTTGTCGACACAGAGAAGGGTTGCACCGAAAAAAGCGGATGGTGGTGTTGAAAGCATGTCCAGTGCCCACATGCCCGCCTCCTGACGCCGGCGAGAGGGATGTGATCGTGAGCGCGCGAGACAGGTGCGAGGTGTCTGGAGATTCCTGATTTGTCTTGTTCCGTGGGCCGTGACAGTGGCCGAAACTTGCCCTACCGCCGCCGCTACAGTGAACACTGCTGGATCTTTGCTCGAGTTCGCGGAGAAGTCGTGGATACCGTGATTATCCAATATGGGGCTGTCCAGGTTACGGCATCATGATAATTCGCACATACATCCATAGTAGTGTAGAGCCAACGCAAAGCCCACGGCCGAAAGCGGTTTGATGGTGGTGTACAAGAATAGGTACGTAGAGGTATGTACCTTGATATTCGGGTTTTGCTCTCCGCAACCCTGGTTTGGCAACATCTTCTACTTTGGAGCTAGCCGGCTCTTTGCGGCGGTTTGTTAGTGCTGCTTGCTTCCGCTCTTCGCTCTTGATCTGACGGTTGTGGCTTGAAAATTTGCGCATACGCATGATGCTTTCCTAGGTAGTTGGAGGGTTGACAGAAGGTCTGAGCTGCCTGATTTTTGCGGCGACTTTGCGCAGCCCTTCCTCCCATCTGCTAGCACATAACTCGCCTCCCCACGGCCTGCGAGCTCCATGTACATAGTAGAGGCACCACAGCGAAGGTGCCATCAACCACATCAGCCCCGATCAACCCAACAAAAGGCGATACCAGTCTGGTGGGGATACGGTTCGTGTTCTTTTTAGCGAGGCCTGCACACAAGACAACTCGGGCATCGGCCGTCTCGTCTGCGGTCGTGGTCGATGTTTTTGGGTGGCCCAAACTACTACTGTGTACGAGCGCGAAAGCAGTTAGAGTGGGAGGAATTTTAGGAGGTCGAGATGGATGATCAAAAGGCTTTTGCGCTTCACGAGGAAAAGCTGGGCGAGGGCCTGTGCTAGGTATGAGCGTACCATTGGCGGGGACGCGTGGGTTGAGCGGGACCCAACCGACACTGCGGGCGGGCAGTTTCATGAAATTCAGGTCCCAGACGAAGGTGGGGCTCCCTTCTTCTTTCCTCGTAGCTAACAGTGTATCCTGCCGGAACTTGTGACGACTTACAGTCTTTACCCCTGCAGTTGCAAAACCCCCCCCCCCCCACAGAGTTGCTAAAACCCCATTTATTGCAACGCCTGTTGACTGCTAGAATTAGTGTAAAAACCCATACTGGGACTGCTAACTGCTAAGTGCAACACTGCCGGGCCGGAATTGCATCACCAGAGGGGTTAATAGGGGGTTTTTGGCATAGGTAAGGGGCAGAGTAGGTAGTTATACCCCTATATCGGGGCTTCAAGACCCATTTCTTCTTTCGGTCAACGGTCCCTCAGTGGCCTGAACACCTGCTCTGGGTTCGTGCGTCAGATTCTCCTTCTACAAACCCCCCACTTATTGCAAGAAAAATTGCTGCCGGAATTGTGTTGCAAAAACAGGGGTAAAAACTGTACTATGTACTGCCGTATGTCTGGTAATATTCCAGCCGAGACTTGACGGCCTGAAAGGTACCGTTACGTAGTCCGGTTCCATGTCGGTCGCCGATAAGAATCGGATGTATAGCCAATCTCGTTCCTTGTCAGGCAGATCTCCCCAATCAACCGGGCCCCAGCACTCACTCCCTTGTCGCTGGCTCAGGCACTGTGTTTCCCAAGCAGAGACGCAGTCGCAGTTTTGGACGCACCAAGTGATGCTGACAATGGGGTTCCGAGAAGTCGAAGATTGCCATTCCTGATATAAACCGTGTGGTGGCAACGAAAATATATGCAGGATTCAATGCTTCGTATGGAAATGAATTTTATGTTGGTGTGTTCTTTGCAGGCAATAAGTAAGTATACGTGCTGTGGCATGTTCATGTCCTATTTTACAGCCATGATCAGTGCTTACCTACTCCCCGCTTGGCTTCAACTTGCGTGTGGTGGTCATATCTAGCATCGTGCAGCTATCTCCGTTTTTGTGATTTCAAGGACAGAGCCAGGCAAGGGACGAAGGAGACCGCCGGGAGAACAGCCACACAAGGGAGACTGCAAACCAGACAACGGCATCCGTCTCGGGATCAACTCGGACAGGGGAAGGAATTGGAAGAGCAGGCAGGGACATCTTTTTACATGGTAGCATTGAAACAGGCCGCGGGCACACCACCCGTGCATGCCACCAAAAGGAAGGATGTTACCTGCCGAGCAGGATGCGTGGTTGGTCACAATGAGAAATTTCCAGAATGAGCTTGGCATGAAACGGGCATGGGTATGCGGACAGCTCCAGAGAAGTACCTCTCTGTAGGTACCTTAGGCACTCTTCGAGCACGATTGGAATTGAAGCCGTTTTGATTTACCGCACCCTGAAAGCCAGTGGGTACTTGCCTCACTCATCAAAGGCACTTGCACCCATCCGCAGAATGTCGGATGCCTCTACCATTACTGTAGGTACCATTGTTCGTCTACCTGATCCACGAAAAAGAGCAAAAAGCTGAACGTTCACTGCGGTAGGTAAGTCGCTACGTGCAGCACAGCCTGCAGCATGTTCTCAGCCAACGGCAGTTTTGGGCCACATATCCATGTCTTCTCCAAGTACCTAGAGTAGTGTAGTGTAGTGTGTGTACTATATACTTTGTAGAAAAAGACTGCCGTTAGGTACCACCCTCGCCTACTAGTGTACTTCTTTTGTGGGGTCACATGCAAGCTCTTTGAACTCCGAACCATCCATCATTTGCTGTCGAGTTCACGATGCCCTTGCTGCTGGAGCGTGCCTGGCTGAGGCTGGTGGGTTCCCCTACAACAGTGCAGGAGCGCAGTGGTGACTGAGCGACCTCCATTTCCGATACAGTGATAGATCGATTGGGCCGCGCTTCCAGATCGCACCTTCCAAGACTGGGATTTCTCACGCCATTATTGGTCGGTCAAGCCAAGTGTCCCGGGCCCCGACATGCCTTGTCGCGCCGACGGAAGGCGCAGTGGGGCGAGGCTCTTGGATGAATGGTTTTGGGCTCAAACTTTTTTTTCTCTTTTCTCTTTTCTTTTCCGTCTCCCTGCAGTCTCGAACTATGCACTGTTACGACGACCAAAACCCACCACTGCACCATTATGTACATCTCACACCAGAACCTTGCGCACCCACCACGACATCCACTCGTACCGCAACTTTGTGAGGAGTCGACCGTTGACCGCGGACCACAGCGAGAAACATTTCTTCTTCCCCCTCCGTCCTTGCTTCGTTTTTCGTCTGCGCATCGCCCCGCAAGGCTCCTCATCTGGATATGGAATCCAGTCCGATTCCAGTCCCTGTGGAGAGCAGTGTCGTTTCCATCCAGGAGCCCACTTCGGTAGTCTCATCTAGACCCGACCCTCGAACCATGCAACCCGACGTTCCAATCGACGGGGCCGTCCCAAAAAATCGACAAATGCTCAATGGTTCTGACACCATGATAGCCACTCGACAATATCAACACGTAATCATCCACTCTCACGGCTGCCACTTTGCGGCTGCCCATGACTCCGACACGAGGACCTCTCACGCATTGCAAACCAGAGCATGCCACAAGGCCTCGCGAGCGGCAATCATCACATTCAGCCAGATTGCAACCATACTCGTCCCAGACTGAGAAAGATAATCTTGCCTTATTTCTCCATCATGCCCTCTCAAGCCCGGTCACCCTTGAGCTTTCAATTTCGAATCTTACCAAGAACCCTGGCGTCCTGCCGAGCTGTGACAAACCCCTTCCTTCCCAAGGTACGTCTGTGTCCTCTGCCTAGTCGCCTGTCATTTCAGAGGTAGTGTAGATTGACCCATCACGGATATTGCGGAGCGGTGCGAGTCGGTGCTCAAGTGTGTGACATCTCATTTCCAGACAACAGCACAACCCTCAAGACCACCACAACAGGGAGAACTGGAACACCAGCTTTTCGGTCCAAGGCCCAGCCACCAGAGAGGCCAGAGCCACTGAACCAGAGACGCCCGGACCCAGGATTGTGCACCATCTAACTATTCTTAGCACCCCTGCTCGTCAGAAGGATTCGAAATTGGTATGTACTGTGTACAACGGATTTTGGTGTGATAGATTACACTGGCGTTCGGCATGCACTTCACTCACGTTGTTGCTGCTCTTCACAGTGGCCCAATCACCATTGACATCGCTGGCGATGACAAACATGAACATGGGCGAAGTAGTGTACTGCGACTGCGTACCTAGGTCAAACGATTTGCCACGCCGCGAGATGCGGCCTGTGAAGGGTCTGTCCCACTCTGTCCTCCCTCATTAGCGGAGGCCTTTTGCGACACAGATCGTAGGCACACATTATCTTATCCTTGGGTTACGTGTAGTGCACGCATTTCGTACTTGGCATGAATTAGCCTGATAGATGCCTATTGACGTCAACACCAGTCAATCCTCTCCTCTGGTAGCTAATGGTGGAAGAGGTCCGACATGATGATTCCCCCGGAGCCTTTGTCGTTTCGGCCTAGATGAGCAGGAGCTTGGGGTTGCTTTCAAGACACGCAAAGCGGGATGGCATGTAGAACCTTGCTAAAACGCCCAGGACGGTAATACGTCGGAAAGAATACGTGTCCATCATGACTCGCCTCTCCCGTCAACATATCTACCCTGTTCAAGCATACGCAGTAGACTACCCATTTGCTTTCACAGTTGTGGCCCTCGTTGCCCGGGCCCGTAAAGGAATATGCGGCATATTGAAGCAGCGATGCGGAACATGACGGGTCACATGGTCCATCAATAACATTCAGAGCAGTGGGCTAAGCATAGCGTCGTACGCTGAGAGCGCCGGAGGCTTAGAAACGTAATTTCGATCTCAACGCAGTTCGTGAATTCCATGGTCCGGGCTTTTCGAGAGAGTCGCGACAACTGAATCATCCATCTGTGTCGTTGCCCTTGAACGCTGAATACTCTATAACTGATCTCCTTAGTCAGCTCTTAGGCCCAGGCTCATCAGTCTAAGACAGGCTGCTGGGAACCGTGGATATGGCAACCACAAACGGGTAACGTTGGCACCTCCTTTTATTATAGCAAAGTTTGCCGGCCAAGCGCATATGGACACTAGGCGAAAAGAAAAGCTAAATATCACGACTCCTTGTGTACTATGTAGGCTTATGCTTGGCTCGCACTGTATGTATCGTGGATAATGAAGTTCAGTGCAGCTGTATCCGACCGTGCGCACCCGAAGAGCTTGCCTGGGGCAGAAGAAAGGGTTGACAAAGAGATTGGATTTGACGGTTTCCACTTGCTGATGGGCCCATGCACGCGCACGCTTTGGCCGAGGTGAAAGCGAGGACAGGACGGCGTGGGCGGAAATCCCCAGGCATAACTGGTATACTGTTTAACCTGCACATAACGATCAAGGGTGTTTCTGGTGTTCTGATCGTTGTGCCCAGAATATCGTTAATGTAAGGTTGGGGTATTTTGGTGCCCACATTTCTACTGACAGGGGGTTCAAAAGACTGGAGAACAACGTGCTTGTATTGAATAATTGGTTACTATGGCGATTTTGCTGTAGAACCGTTTGTGAAGTACGAATTGAGGGTTGATTGCTTTTTTTCATTCCTGGAGCGTAGTTGGTCCCAGAACAATAGTTTCTAGCGCCTTCTAAGTATTGCCAACTATACTATATCTATATTTTCTTATTATTCTTTATATTAGATAACGGTAGTAATGGTTTTAAGTGCTTCTATAGTAGTAATTTCTATTATTTTAATATCCTAATTATTATTGCTATTATCTAGTTCTTAGACTTTAAAGAAGGTTTTAGTAATATACTAGAAGATATTTTGAAGGTCCTTACGAACTTACTCTTTTAGTAGGTTAATAAAGTTAACAATATTTATTACATTTTTAACCTATCTAATTCTAGCGAACTCTTTTACTAACCGTTATATATAAATAGCTTCATCCTAATTAGAAGGTCGTTGTTCTAGACTATATACGGGTCCTAATAATTATGATTTTTTCCAATAATTATTAATAGTTTCAATCTTAACTTTATGCCTTTATATATTAAGAACCTAGTGTACTGCTTACAATATCGTAGTCTTTTTAATAGCGTTTTCGTTATTAAGGATATAGTAGATTAGGTATTATAATTAAATGTAGCGGTAATAAACTTTTAGATTATTAATAATCCTTTAATTTATAGGTTAGTAAATAGAGGTAGTATTAGCGGGTAGAATTTTAATAGTAGTATTAGCTAGAGGATAGTTATTATACTACTCTTTTAATTACTTTAAGGCAGAATAATAAATAAATATACTATCAATTAATAATAATATTCGTTGGTTAATTATTTGACAGTTAAATTAATAAAGGAATTCTATAAAGATAGAGGTAATTATCTACGCCTTCTTATTACTCTTCTATATAATAGGGAGGTTAGTAATAAACCGCCTATCCTTCCTAAAAGAACAAGGGTTCTTAATATTACTAAGAATCTATAGATCCAATTTGTAAATACTAATCGCATTAATATAAGGGAGTATAGTAATCTTCTCCTTCTTTTTTTTTAACTTTACTTAAAATTTAGTAATTAGTATAATATTAGGAATTATTAATTAGAATAATATAATTTCGTTGGTATTATATGTGTTTTTTAATCTATATTCTTTAATTAGACGTTTAATAATTTCGATTTGTTTATAGGATTTAATAATATTAGCTAATCCGGCTTTATTAAATTATTTATACTTTTTAATGTAGTGGCGGCGTTTGAATCTGGTAAATTAACTATTTAAGAAACCGGGTTGGGGTAGAAGCCGGAAGTTAAGTATTTTAAACTATGGAAATTTGGTTACTTTTTTAATTATATTGCCGGAAATAGGTAGCCGGTTATTCTCTATACGAATAACCTATTTAAATAGAATCTTTTCGAATACAGGATACTCTATTAAGTAAATTCGAAAGATATTATTAATACCCCTTATAAAAATCTTCTTATTTAAATAAATAAATTTAAGTTTTAGGAATTTGGATATAGTAGATTGTCCAATAGGGTAGCCTAGTTCTTTGGTAGCCTAGGCAGCGATTTTGCGCTATATGTATTTGGGGTTGTTGCGAATGAAGGCGCGAATTTTTTGACGGTGAATTTCGTTAATAGTATACCGGCGCTGGGATTTGTGAGGCAATATAGTATTAATATTTTAAAAGAGCGCTCGATTCTAGTTATAAAAGTAAATAAATGGTTTTGAACGATAAAAATTTAAGTAAATTGAATAGGGTTAATTGTGCTGGATTTCAGAAATTAGAAATAAAATACAATAGTTAGTAAGGGGTTGACACTCCTGTTAGGAGGTGTTAAGGATTGGCAGGGGGTGTTAGGGTGGCTGACAGAGCTGTTAAATAGGGGTAACTATAACGATATTGGTGTATTACTAAGCAAGAATCTGATTTAAATTGTAATGTAAAGGTTGATCGTTACTCCCATACTAATCTGCACCGTTACCGTGATTTTGAGCGTTATGGCCAGAATATCGTTATATGGCTGATCGTTATGTGCAGGTTAAACAGTATGCAGTGATATTGCTGGCCTTTGTCCGAGGACATCTCTCCACCTGCCGCTCTTTCTCGGTTGCAGCCTGTGATGCCGCTTATTTTGGTGGCCTTCACCCGAAGCCGCGATTCCAAGTTCACCACAATCATCAGCAGGCCAATTCCGGTATCGCGCAGGACCCATCCCGTCACAGAAGAGATGGTGTGCATCTACCGGGACGCTTTCTCACTTGCGCACCACAAAATGTGAGGAGCGCAACGGATTACGACAGTCTGCGACTTGAATGAAGGATGATGCCCCGGTCCATGCCAACCAGTTCTGAGTTCTCGACTGTACCATGATGCGCGCTTTGTGCGCCTCATCCTCAGGTTGGCAACAGGGTGTGACGGCACTTTCTGCTTGCTGCCTGTTGTCGGTGGGCAAATGAGGTTCCCATATTGGAACCAAGGGGTTGCTGGCATGTTTGGATGAGAAGGGTCAAGAACGCCTGCCCACCGGACGCCGAGATGTCAATCGAGACGGCATCATCCACAGAAAAAGCATGGCGAGTTGCTTCCGCGGCAGAGAAATCTGATACGTACGAACAGCTCTTTGGAAGGCATGCAGATAAACCCCGAGTCACAGCCGGCATAACAACCACTACAATACATTACCAAAAGCATGTGGCGGCATCACCACCAGTTTATACCCATCACTAAAAGCTCGACATCAAAAATAAGGCGTCGGATTCAAACTGCCCTATCAATCGGATGACACTCCAGGTACGCACATTTCCCTCTTCGAGATTACATACGACGGTCCCAGGTCGGCAATAGTTCGTATCTAAAGGGGGTTGCTTCGCTTTCCCTGGCCTGCCTGGCTTCGGCTCTCCTACAGAGGTAACATCCTGCAGATGAGACCCCTTTACGAATCAGAGTCTCTTTCTCTGGGCGGAGCAACGACCACCACTGACGCCGCCCGTCGTGCTCCATAGGTATCATGCTCGACTACGGAGATGTCAGTTTTCCCTTGCACCTATTCGATCCACTTGAGCGTAGTGTCTATTCAGTATATTCTTCTAGAGGTTACGCCATAATCTACACGGAAATCCTAGCCAGCTGGTTTTGCCTGACGTGGACCGCCCATCGGCTGCAATGCCTGGCATTCCGAGTTCCCAGCAGGCCAAAGGCTACTTTGGAACAGTCATGACGGCCACTTTTCTCCCCGCCTTGAGCCCCGGACCACACCTCCCCCACCCAACACATGTAGTGGGATTGTAGATGGGATCTTCCAAGGTTGGCTGTTGCTGAGACGAGTTTGACGAGATAGCTTCATTGTCTGTGGACCCTCAACAACACGTCTATCACTTCGTCACACATAGCCAGTAGAGAACTGGGCTGGTCCTCCGTTGCGCCGTCAATCTCGAGTCTCCAGAGAACGCTTATTATGGAGCAAACATAACTCTCAGACCTCGATCGGGGCCCCTTACTCGTCAGTAGTTTCGCCGTCTTGTCCGAGGGCTACCGGGGTTGTTTCGTCTTTACACTACAGCCATACAGTACACTACGGAGACATCAATGAGCCCCTGAAAGACCAGCAACAGCGGATCGGCTTCCCACACCACACCTCTCTCGATACATCCCCACAGTCATGATGATGCCTCAGCAAGACATTGGACGATCAACAGGCAAGCTGTCTTATGGCTCATATTTCGACCTGTTCAACCTTGTTGCCTTAGACCAGATACGTACTGCCCAAATTAAAACGTGATGTAACAGATCCGCCTAGGGCATGCCAGCGTTGTTCGGGGCTCACCTTTGTGGAGTGTCTGACGATGTCAAGGCAGCCAATAGCCGAGATGATTGTCGCAGGCTCATATCTTCCCCTTCGAGGTACTTTCTTTAACAGCTTCACAGTTGACAAGGGCATATCTGGTTGTTACCGGACAGTAGAGGTTGACTGTTAGGCACTTACTAGGCGCACTGGGTTCCGATCCGTGGTCTTCATGCAAGTTGCTGGAGCAGCGGGCTAACGAAATCCCTTCCAGCCGTTGTAGACGAACCACAACTTGCTGCTTGTTTTGGGAGACCACTGGCGCTTCGCTAAAACCCCCAGATTCCCAGACTACTCTAAATGGCAGAACGGGTAGACGAGATGCTGGGGTGCTATAAATGTACAGCACGCTACGCTACCTTTTGTTGGGGGTGGTCGTGGCAGATATCTTCCACGATCCCTCGGTTCACTCACCGCTTCTTTAGGTCTTGGTTTATAGGTACGTTACCACGATTCAAGCCACTTTTGTATGAACTTGGCATATTTCTCTTCATTCGGCAGCTTTCTCCCCTTCCCGCCAGCTTTCACACCCACCACACACAACCGGTAGGTTCCTCTCTTTTCGGCCCATCCGAATTAGGATATGGCATGCATAAAATACCACCCCATACAGTGCCAAGGTGAGGCCAAGCTCTCAAGGCACTGTATGCGGCGCCTCATGGTTCGGCTCAACGACTCCCTGTGAGCGATTCCCTAAATGGAAAGATTCTTGTGTTGAGACCACTGGACGTACCAGGAAATAAAAGATACAATTTGTACGACCAATAGGTTTCTTTGTAGGCACAACTGCATACACTACTACTGTGTACAACACGTAGGCGCAACCTCATTCGTTTCCCAGTGGGTTCATTCCTTTTTTCTCCGATTCGGTAGTCAGCCCTACCGCCTGTCCAACCCACGGGGGAGGCCAAAGCTGACACACAGGGAGGCCATGCCCATGGGGGGTGCGGGTGAGGCCAAACAGAAGCCCACGGGGAGACATTCCGTCAAAGGGTCAGACAAGAGTCAAACAGCATACATTTCTATCGTGGGATTGGGTAGGATGGATTAATGGGGGGAAGGGTGGGAAACCCAAACTCCAAGCCACCGAGCCACCGAGCCATTCTGAAGCGCGTCCCATCACAATGGCCCGAGACCTATATGTGTACTGTACGGTACCGCATAGTCCTATTGCAACAGATATCGGACGGCCGTTGCCGTTCTCGTTGACGTCGCTTCCTAGCCAGCCAACAGCAGCAGCATCCTTCGAACAACCTTGTCCTAATCCAGAAAGCAAAGCAAGTACCTATCTACGCAGTAATGAGCAACGCAACATGGTAAGATGGCGTGAAGAAAAGAAAAGAAGAGCAACATCGTGAACCTGGATGGTTGGGACCTCTCCAGATGAAAAAAAAAAAAAGAAAAGGCATTAGCTACCCTTACCTACGATGTCTCATGTTCTCTTCGCCGGTATTATCAGCCTCCTCGCTATCCATAGGATAGAATTCCTCCACCCACTTATCTCGTCAGTTTACGGGCTACATAGTGTAGTATAATTTCATGTTATGGAGTCACAGAGTCCATGTCCATTAACCACCTTACACATTACAGTACATTCATCACAAAAAAACCGAAGCTGAACTCGCGCCTCAATTACATCCAAAGCATAGTTTCCTATATAGTTTGCTTACCTTACATCCTGACACATGAATGTTGCCATGTTTCCATTCGGGATGCCCACCCTCACGCCTACGTACACTACGTGGGCCGGAATCTGACCCTAATCTCCCATCGTCCTACATCTGTTCAGACAACAAGAGGAGACAAACAACAAGCCTTCCCTTCCCTTTACGACGGTGTATCCCCATCGCCGGAAAGTACCTTCGTACTCACGTACCTAACCCCCAGGTCCAAGCTAAGCTCCTACCAAGTCTCGCCAGGGAGTTAGTTGTCCCTCTCTCATTGTGCCTACTTTGATCCAAACGTAATCTCTTTCTGAGCCAGAATCAACCTGACACAGAGTCACCGTTTTGAATCACCAAGAATGACCGCCGCATGCAGGTACTTACTTACCTACAAATCTACCTAACTATTCTAGGGTACCTGTACCACATCGATTCATTATCACGTGGAATTCGTTACAAGATTAATGAGACAACAACAACTACAACAAGTCTTCTCTGTGCCTCCCTCGTTTTTCAATGTGCATTAGGCCGACCACGGTTACGACGACGTACAAGTCAACCTCTCCTTTCACCTGGTCACAGCATTCTCTCTCTCTTCACGGCCTGGCGTCTCTTTAGGGCCTAGTCAGTCAGTGTATGAAGCGTTAGTAGTCAGGTTTCAACTATACAGTTCCACGTTCATTTCCATTCATTCTCAAACCAAGCACAAGCTGGTCAGGACTATCTCTACACATGAGGACTCGGGAACTGCCCATCATCGTCATCATCACAAGCAAGAAGGAACCAGCCCATAGTAATGATTGATATGCACTCTGTCGCTGTCCATCGGCTTTGTCGAACATGAGGTAGGTCACTATCGCTGGCTAGGGTGAACTTATCAGCCCAGCTCTGAAAGCTATCAAAAAGATCGTCAATGTTTTGCTTGCCAACGGAATTCCAAGTGTGCAGATTAGGTACACAACCAAAGTCACCGCATCCTGTGACAGTTACCATCCCTTAACAATCCCGTTGAATCCCTCCACCTGAACCTTCTGGGTAGCCAGTCTCACGGCAAAGGCCAAAAGCTTCTTCTTCTCCTTTTGACTCGTGGACTGGATCCAGGATCGGTCTTTGGTTGCAGTTGCGGTTGCGGTGTCATTCGGCGAGGCCATCAACAAACCGTACAATATGCCGGCTATGAAAGTATCTCCTGCGCCGATTGTACTGTGATCGGGTGATGGGTTGACTTTGTTAGCCATGTTATGTCCTTCCGCTTTGGCTACCGCGTATACTGGTCGTGTTCCGTCCCACTTGGCTTCTTCTACTTGTTCGTTTTTGGATTGTGTAGCACCTTTGTGACTTGATACCTGGCAGAGAGGGAAGGAAACAAATGTCGGAAAATCCTATATGTGGAGTTGTTGGCGGTCTCGGACCGTTCGGTCTTCATTCAACACCGACATGTTTCTCTTTCTAAGTTGTCTTGTCTTGTCTCCCTCTCGTGAACCATTTTAACTTGCAGTGACGGGTACAGATGTGTGCCAGTTGTGTCACTCTGTTTCTTTCAGGGCCCAATCCACGTTCAAGGTAGAAAGGAGCAGAGAGAAGAAATGAATAAAACATCCCACCTCGATCAAACAAAAGAATGAGAGACGGGACGGGACTTACTCAACTACGGTGATTATCTGGGTCTCGAATACCTCTGCTGTAGAACAGTGCAGATATTCTGGTTCTGTTACTTTTGCTGTTTGCTCATTGTTGCCACCGCCGGTGCCGGCGGGTGAAGGGAAGAGAGCACCAGCCCCTTGACATCCCCATGTGCACAGCATCAGAGAACTATAGCGCGGTATTGAGAGTGTTTGTTAGAACAGCGCCAGCCTTTTGCCTCTGCCCGATACTTATCGGACTTTGGATTTGTGCTCTTGGGCAGCAAAACTTACGCTTTCTTGCAATTCGGCAGCTCGCCTCTCAGACAAGCTTCTGGGTTGGTGTATCCTCGGCTCTACACAACCGGAGGTACAAGACCAGGCTTTAGTATCATGGACGAGGACCAGAAGATCACCCTGGGCGCAATCTAGGCTCAAGTGCTGTAGCATGTCACACGCCACGCATGCTCACGTTGGTCTCCATGAGTGGATGGAGTGACACGGAAATAATATGACTTACCTCTGCCCAACTCTTGGAGTAAAACACCACGTCAGATTCCGCGGCCAGCTCAGTAAGGCCCTCCCGGCCTGGCTTTTCTATCTCGACGCTAATAGTGCTTCCTGGTAGGACCTGGCGTAGGTAGCGGATACATTGCAGTGTTGTCTCTGGGATTCGACCCTTTAGACGCAGTCCGTCTGTGTGTTAATATAAGGCGAACCCTGAGCAGACATGCGGCGAGACAAACGAAAGCGACAGCTTCATCAAGAGACATATAGCACTTGTTATACGAGAGAGTAAGGAGCAGGACGGAAAGCATGTAGGCTCTGCCCTGCGAGCATGTGTATAACGGGGATGGCTGAGCCTACCTCAAAGTGCCACCAGCAATCCTCACCAATGAAACCCTTAGAGCTTCCATCAACACTGTGGTAATGCTGGAGGGAAACGAAATCATCCGCGATATTCATAAACTCGTCCGTTGTCATCTCTGGAAGATCATTGTAGTTCACAATGGTCCGGCTGCCTGTCGCGCCACTGCGAATAATGTAACTACTGGCTGCTTCATCGTACCCCTTGCGGTACAGACAGTGATTAAAGTCAACACTGGTAGCGGTAGCAGAAGCGGCGCTGGTCACAGACTCGGACAGAGACTCAGAGTCGTAAGATGGAGACGGCTGAGGAGCAGGAGGAGTTGCAAAGGATGACAGGATTCTGCGAATGGCGGGAGACCCAACATCGGGCAGGATAGAAACCAAGTGTAATTTCAGCTGCTGCTGCTGCAGCAGCTGCTGTTGTTGTTGTTGTTGTTGTTGTGACGGTAGCGGTGTAACGGCAACAACGCCAGCGGCGCTGTCTGGTTGGTTTTGAGTTGATGAAGAATCCAGGCCACCTCCTGAGAGGAGTAGCTGCTGGAGAACCTCGGCTGTGTTGGGACAGTTGCCCCCGCGTCTCACCTGCAAGGCCGTTGCGCGTAGCTTGGAGTCTTCTTCGGGAAACTGGGGAACACTACAGGCAAGCCGTGGTATCTCAAGTGTGAGCACAGAACTAAATGAGTATAACATCCAGATTCCGATCCTGGTAATGCCAATTACAGCCACAGCTCTGAGCAGCAACAAACCGGCAGCTATAGGGGCAAAGTACAGGTATGGGAGCTATGTAGGATGTTGGACAAGATGGAGAGACTCACGTCAGAATAGTGTCCAAATAGCACGCCCCCGCTAGGATGAGGTGCTTCATTGTCTCTGTCTGGCTTGAGATGAGCAACTGTGTCAAAGTAAGGGATTCGGTATGTCTGAGGCGTATCGACCAGAGGTCCTGTTTGAGGTAACGGTACAATGGATGGGCGCCAACTTTGGAGCCGGCCGGCTGCCTGGCCTTCCTTACTAAGTTGTATGTTTTGATGAGGTCAAGCAGGAACTTGGGGGACAGTAGTAGGGGGGGATGGCTTGGTTGGGTTTCGTGTCTTTCGTCCGTAACCCGCCCGGCGTGGACAGTTTGACAGCCACCAAGACAGTCGGAAATGACAAGCCATAGACGGGTTCAGTTGCGACGTTGGCTCAGGAAGATGAGAGCGGTACCTACATACCACTTGCCCCTGGAGTGACTTCCACTTTCCATCCAGTGGTGGGGCACCGTACGTAGTGTTTGGTAGAGGTACCATAGCGCGCCAGGGGGGTTCCAGAAAATGATCACCCGTATGATTTTACACTTATGAGATATAATAATTGTAAAATGATCCTGCGATGATATTGTGTGCAAGACATAACAAGTGGTCAATTGGTCATGCACTGTGCACGCCATCTTCATACAAATTCCCCGTTAATTATAAATATTTTGCTAAGAAAGTGATTCAACTAAGTGACTATCGTATAGCCACATTCAACTTACATTATAGTAATGATATTAGTATCTATACAATATTATATTCTAAATTCATTTTTAAATATTAATTCTTCTATACGCCTAAAGATTATTTTATTTTGTATGTTAATTGTAAAAAAACTTATAATTATTAATATATTTATTCAAATTAACTTTAATTCTTTCTTATTCTATTTGATTATTCAAATTAAATCCTACTACTATTATTTGTAAAGAGGGGGAATATTTTATATTTAATATTAACTATAAAAAAAACTATCTTCTTTCTTATTCTATTTAATTGTTTAAATCGAATTAAAATACTATTATTTATTGGAAAGGGGAATATTTCATTTTTAATATTAATTATAAAAGAGATTTATTAATATTATAATATTTATTTACATTAACCTTCTCTTCTAAATAAATAAATTATTCTCTATTCTAACCATTTAAATAGTAGGGTTTAATTATAAAATATAATTATTGGTAATTAATAAACTAATTTAAACTTAGGAAGCTAGTATTATCTTAAAGTATTCTATAGATCGAATATTATTATAAATATTATATTTTATTTCAATTTAGGCAGAGCGTTTTTAATAAGAAATCTAGTATTATATTAATTGATTTTTTTATAGTAAATTTATTTTTTAAAAGGATTGTCTCTAATTAGAAGTTAATTCTACCTATTAAAACCAATATATTTACAAATAATATATTAGCCGCAAAAGTCAATGTCTTAATAAATTTAAAATTTTATAGTAAAAGGATTAAATACTATTAAAATATTTTAGGTCTAAAAAGTATAATATAGGTAAAGTTTTTATATTTTATCTAATTTATTAAGCGCCCTACCCGCGGCTAGCCGGCCGGCTTAAATACGGTTCTAATTCCTATTAGGGTTTCTCTTTAATCCTTTATTTCTCCTCCTTTTCTTCTTCCTCTTTTCTATTATAATTAATTTCACTACCAATTTCCTAATTATTTTCACTAAACTATTATTATTTACAATATTAATCTACTATTTATAATTCTAATAATAGAATTGGAAAAGGAATTTAGAAATTAAAAGAAAGTTAGTAAATCCTATCCTACTCGTATAGTCGCAGCGGCGATATAGTTAAGGTTGCTTTCACCTTGATCTTAGATTGTACTACGGTTTCTTATGGGAGACTGCGGGGATTTATACTTAAAGGCATCTATATTATAGGACTAGTTAAATAATTATAAAATATAGAAGTCTTGGGTATATACCCCGAGGTAAGGTTGATAGTATGTAGAAGGGGAACCTAGAACCTGGTAATGAGCCTAGAAATATTAATTAAAGGAAATGGAGTAAATAGGACGGTTAAGGATAATAGAATAAATTATTAGAGGAGTATTAATGAATAGTAACCTTAGGGTTGGTTAAGTATATTATTGGATAGTTGGAAGGCGAATAGTTGAACGGGACTCCGGACGTAATTATAAAATTTTAATTATTTTAGTAAATATTGTTATATTAAAGCGAACTTATTTATTAGAACCTTAAATATAAGAAAAATTAATAATTATATTTATTACCTATTATTAATTTAAAGTTAGAAGATAAAGTAGTAAAAAATAGGAAACTATAAATTAAGGGCGGACTAATTTAGATAATTACCCTAATAATAATTTTTATAATTATTATTAATATTTTAATAGTTAATTTAGAGGTCCTTTCGGGGGGGGGTATTAGGAATAAATATTTATTAGAGAAAAGTTGACCGATTTGCAAATTAGTATACTGTTAGGAGAAAAACCTAGAAGTAGTTAAAATTAATTTGGAAGTACAGTTTTTCTTATATTTATAGGTTAAGTATAGTAGGTAGGCGTAAGTATTGAATTGTTGGAAATAACGGTCGATAAAGTTATTTATAATAAGGTTTTTAAAATTAGTAATTATAATTGGAAGTTCGAAGTAGGTTGATCCGCTTGCCTTATAGGTAGAGAATGGGGAATATTCATTCTATTAGAGCGTTCGATAATGAACTAGAGAGCGAAAATTATTAATAGAAGTGATATATTCTAGGATGGCCAAGATATATAGTAGTAGATATTAAAATTAGAGAATATTATTATAGAGAGTCGGTTTATAATTGGGGTTTGGCGGGGAGGATTTAAAGTAGTATTCGGTTTAATTTATAGTCTTAATCGTTAATGTATTGGCGGTTAATGTAAAATATAGGGTTAAAGTCTGGTGACGGGATTAATATATATAAGAGTTTAATAGGGAGAGAGGGAGGTAGGATTTATTCGGTAATAATTGGTTAATAAAATATAATAATAATAATTCGATATAGGTAAATAAAATAAAATAGAAGAGAATTTTAGAATAATAATTAGGTAGAAATATTTTGGTTTGGATATATTCGATAATTCTACGATGAACGGGATATTTAATACCCTCGTTATAAGTATACTAAAATATTCTTTCCTTATATAATTTATTAAATTCTTTCTATCTAATTAAATAAATTAAAAAAAGGGTAGTAGTGCCCGGGTATTTAGGGGGGAGTATAGTACGATTATATTTTAATTTGGAGAAAAGTTTAAATATTATATAATTGTAAAAAATAGAATTCTATACTTTTATATTCTTAATACCTCTTACGGACTAGATTAGAGTATAGAGTAATAGTTATCTATAAATATATACCTTCTTAATATTATTTATATAAAGTAAATATTGTAGTTAATATATATAAAATTGCTATCCCTTCGGGTTATTATCTATATTTAGTCCGGCAAAATACTAAGGAATCTAATAATCCTTCTAGTTAGGGTAAATTTATAAATTGGGCACTTAAGAATGAATTTATAAATAGGGAACTTAATTCGGGGCTTAATTATAGTAACTATAATAAATATATATATTTGTCCGGTTTAATAATAAGTAAAAATACTATTTAAATAGGTAAATAAAGTTGAAGTATCTTTCCGGTCTTTATTTAATATCCGAATAAAATCTCTAATCTTAAATATTTACTTCGTTAAGCAACGCTAGAATACGAAAGAAACTTTCTCGGCCTAGAGGAATTTCTTAGTCCTTTAGAAGATATATAGCCGATTATAGTCCGATTTAAATACCTCCCTTAATTTTATTATAAAGTTAGAATATTCGTCCTCTAGGCGAAGGTTTATTACTAATAATAACGAATCTTCTCGATTTTTTACCTAATTTTCTAATAAATTATATAATGTAAGGGGATTGTAGTAGTAGGGATCTAATCGAATTTTAAAAGTCAATACTTCTTCTTTTAAGTAGAATCCTTCGTTATTAAAATATAGATTGTAGGATGCGGCTAGCCCCGGGTACGACTCTTTGAGTATAGAAAATATATAATAAACGTCTAAATAACTATATTTAAAATAGCCGGCTAATATAAATAATATAGACCGGCGTTCGTTAATACGTTATATTAATATAAATATAGTATTTTGGTAGTTGGTAGCGAAAATATTACGTGTAAATTCCCTAATTATTATTAGTTTTTATTTAGGATTTCTCTTAGTAATTGAAATTTAAGTAGGAATAATTATAATACTTACTTATATTCATCTTTTCCTTAGAATGTAAATGCTAAATAATATGAACTATATTCTTCTAAAACCTCCGATAAATATATATTAATATAGATATTTAATAAGCCCTAGCAGTTCAATATTTTATTACCCTTCTAACCTAGTATAATTGGTGTACGTTTTGTTATTTGTATTCCGATAGAATTAAGCGTAATAGTTAAAACTACGCTATTTTCTACTACCGTTACTATTAGTATAAAAGTAAGCGTACTACTTATTTTAGTCCCTCCCTATCTTTATTTCAACGTTCTACCTTTAACTATCGTAGTACCTCTATTAGAGGTAGCTTAACTTGGCTTCTTACTAGAGCTTTTCTTACTATTACCTAAAATATAATATATATATTAAAAAGCCTTTCTTCCGCCTATAACCATATAGTTAAACTCTTCTATATTTAGGATTCTGTTACGGGTAAAAATAGTTAATACCGACTATACAAATCTCCAATATACTAAAATTATCTATTCCTAGTATATATATACTTCTAGCCTAAAAATTTAATAATTCAAATCGAATATATCGAAGAACCGGGGACCTTCATCAATAAAAAGCTATTAGAATTCTAATTTTATATATTCCCGTTTAAACTAGCTAAGTAATAATATAAGTATAATAATAATAAAATGTGTGTATTCCTTTATATAGAAAGATTTGCGATGTATTTTAGGGTTTTATATCCTCGCCTAGCCTAGTAGGAACTGAATTTCTTAAAATACAAAAGCGGCCTCTTTCTAAAAACGTTTATAGAGGAATCCTTCGTCTTTAAA